GGAGAAACAATCACAACCACAGACAGTGACTAAAACTGGTGAGCGCTAGAGATGAAGCTGTGGGAGATCAGCAGCCCAAAGTACCTTTAGAGACCTGAGGCAAGAGTGACGCATGGCCGACAAAGGCCAGAAATATGCTTATAAAAAGGCAAAATTTTGGCTACAGAATTCAGCTGCAGCATAGATGTGCAATTTCTGTTGAAAAGGCAGCATTTTCTTCCAAACCTGCCTGTACAAACACAGCACGAGCTCCCCACCTACAAGCCATTATGAAAAGTCCTTGGTATCACCACTCCTCTCTTGCTTCCCAGCCCCATCCTTCCCATAAGCTATAGCTGGATCCATTAAGAGTTAATACGATGAGCAACATGAGAGTGCTTAAAACAACCAGACAGTCACCAAGATAAAGATCTCTGGAAAATATAATGCTGTGTCCGATTTAATCATGTGCCAGAACTGCTGATGGTGTTTGAAACTACTGCAACGTTCACTCCGACAACAGTGACTGGCAGCAAGAGGCAGCCCAGCTGGCTGGCCCACGGTGGGGCAGGAAACCAGACAGTGCTTCTTTAATAAACGCAGGAATCGTACAAGGGGCTTTCACCATCATCACCATTACACCTTCGTGATAAATCAAGGAAGATGAGATTTGGCCCTGCATAAACCTGCAGGCACAATGTGCTTTGCTGTGGGCATCAAATTCTCTTGTCCTATCCACAGGTAAGTCTATCCCACATATTAGGGGAGCCCACATAAGCAGGAAACAACCAGGGTAGTTACTGGGAAGGGAAAACAGTGTTTCCTCAGAGACAATGCCCTGATCACAGCATGTCCCAAACACACAACTCATCTCTTCTGAGTAGCATCAAATCAGTGCAGATCCCAAGAGAAAACTCTATATTTAAGCTGCAGGCCCAGGTATTAAGATTAAGGAGACACTTGTAATGCCTTCAAATCCATTTATTTCCTTCATCTTATCTGTTTCTATCCCCTTCTGCAACCCTGCTGCTTCTCCTCTTAGTACCATGTTCCATTTTCTCATGTTTGCCATTCCTTTTACCAAAAAAAAAAAAAAATCCCTTAAAAAAAAAAAAAAATCCTTTAAAAAAAAAAAAAAATCCTTTAAAAAAAAAAAAAAATCCTTTAAAAAAAAAAAAAAATCCTTTAAAAAAAAAAAAAAATCCTTTAAAAAAAAAAAAAAATCCTTTAAAAAAAAAAAAAAATCCTTTAAAAAAAAAAAAAAATCCTTTAAAAAAAAAAAAAAATCCTTTAAAAAAAAAAAAAAATCCTTTAAAAAAAAAAAAAAATCCTTTAAAAAAAAAAAAAAATCCTTTAAAAAAAAAAAAAAATCCTTTAAAAAAAAAAAAAAATCCTTTAAAAAAAAAAAAAAATCCTTTAAAAAAAAAAAAAAATCCTTTAAAAAAAAAAAAAAATCCTTTAAAAAAAAAAAAAAATCCTTTAAAAAAAAAAAAAAATCCTTTAAAAAAAAAAAAAAATCCTTTAAAAAAAAAAAAAAATCCTTTAAAAAAAAAAAAAAATCCTTTAAAAAAAAAAAAAAATCCTTTAAAAAAAAAAAAAAATCCTTTAAAAAAAAAAAAAAATCCTTTAAAAAAAAAAAAAAATCCTTTAAAAAAAAAAAAAAATCCTTTAAAAAAAAAAAAAAATCCTTTAAAAAAAAAAAAAAATCCTTTAAAAAAAAAAAAAAATCCTTTAAAAAAAAAAAAAAATCCTTTAAAAAAAAAAAAAAATCCTTTAAAAAAAAAAAAAAATCCTTTAAAAAAAAAAAAAAATCCCTTAAAAAAAAAAAAAAAGCTAATAAGATTTAAACTTTTGCTTCATTTTGCCCCAGGAAAACTGACAGACAGTTACAACACAATGGATTTATCTGCTGTTAGTAGTTTTATCATGGTTGAAGTAGGTAAGATCTGTAGTGGCAGTACCATCATCCCCAGACGGCCGCAGGAGGAACTACCCAGCAGGGAAGCCCCTCCTGAGAGGCGGCAGGGATCAGCTATGCACCCACACAAGAAAACCAGCCACACTCCTGCACATCTCAATTAATAGCCACTTGCACCAGCTGTCCATTTTCTACTGAACATAGCAGTCAAACCTCCAAAGGTTGTTTAAATTAAAACAGATGCAGCTTTTGCAGGTGGCACCTGAGGCGCTGTGAGTATTGGAATTACTCACTGTGTATACCAAAGAATTAAATTTTCCTAACTCGAAATCAAACAGGTTCCAATGAAGGAGGGGTGGGTAAGAAAGAAAAAAAAATAAATATCAGAAAACTGCCTCTCTCCTCTACTTCCCCATGCCCACTACAAAACCAAACTCAAAGCATTTTGAGGTCCCAAAGCATTTCTATTCTTATCAAGAAAAACATGTTTTCTCTTGAATTACCATAATTCTAGCAATTTGAGCTGTAATTTGGTAGCCTGCCTTGTATAAGATGGAGTTCTGAGCTACACATAACCTACAAACCTTGTGAGATCCACCTATCTCTATCACACAGTTATGAGGAAATACAGACTCTAATACTTAAATTCAGAAGCAGAAATAGGAGCAGTAGCTCCTGTCCTGAGGGAACCAAAAATAGGAAACGAGTCATACTTAAAACATTGACACTCATCAGCTGCAAAACGATTAAATGGGTATCCCTATCGGTTTATTTGCAGATTGTAACTCTTTAGTTCTCTGTTTCACCGAGTCTCGAGATCAAATCTGTCAAAAGACATTGCAGCAAGCTTGTATAGGTGTAGTTTTCTTATGACTTTTCTCAGTCCTTCTGTATCATGCCTCCAGCATGCTAGAACTGCATGTTGGTAAGACAATGTCTTCCAGCAACAGGCTTTCACTTCACTAACATAACCTACGGAGCTCTGCCATGTGCCAGTTGGGCCAGGTGCCTGGCTTACCCAGCAGGGTTTGTCAAACTAGCACCTGAGCTCATGCACAAGGCCACACAGCTTCTCTGTCCTTGATCCCAGGCAGTCCAAAACTGACATCTTTATGTTACAGGATAAACCTATTTGTCACCAGGGATTTAAATGAACAATAATAAATAAACTGAACGGATTAAGGATGCAACTGCAAACAACTCAATTTGCCATGGAGTTCATGGCATACAGTAAATAAAAGGAAACAGGAAAGCCTAAGTGAAATACTTCATATATTTTAAGCCCACATCTTTTATCACCCATTCCATCACAAAACTATGCAATCAAGATTTCTAGTTGGAGTTTGTAGAGGCTTTTTTGTTTTCAGGATTTTAGGTTTTATTTTACTAGCTGTTAAGGACAGCAGTGAAAGATCATGACCCCATTTCCACTCCTCCAGAGTCTGTACAGCTCTCTTTGATGTTTCTAATATAGCCTCGTGGATCATATCACCTCTATCATGAAGGCACAGGGATTATCTTTCTCCAATATTTTGCATTCTCCCTTAAACAAAAGACACTTCCTCCTGTTCTTCCAACTGTGAAAAATAGCTGCCTATATCACATAGAAAGCCAGTAATCTTGTTTGTTAACCAGCTGTTTTGTTCTAAGTTGTTGGCCTTTTTAAACATGCTTAAATGTTTATCTTGCCTATAAAAATCAAATTTCCCAGGAATTTTCCAGAAAAAATAGTTCTTACCTTTGCATTCCCATCATCAGCTACAAATGCTACAGTAAATTAAAGTTTCCTGGGCATATGTAGCTCTTTAAGAAATTCTGTGTAGTACCCCAAAACTGCAACAGGGTCAGCATGAAAGAAATCATTATTGGGTTAAGATAGAAAGACATATGGCTCCCTTTCAGCCAAACTCAATACATTAAAGCCTAACCATATGTACTCATTTGAGAAAGACCAGAATTAGTAAACTCACAGCCATATTTTCTAAGTAATGGTAATCTCATAGGTCTATATTTTCTTTAATGAGCTCTTCCACAGCAGAAAGCAAAGAAAACAGGAAACTAAAGACTTGGGACTTTATTTATAAAGGGACTTGGTCCCTTTATTTATTTTATCTCTCAACAGGCATGCGCAAAATGTTGATAAAGTCAATGGATGAATTTTATCTCCCATTCCCACAGGTTTTAGGTAGGAAGAAGCTTCCTGGAAAAGTTTATGCATTGAGGGATGTCTGGACCTGCTGGATTCTCAAAACAAGACAGTGCCAAGTGATATCCATTCAATTTATGCTCATCTATGCAACTATGTCCTTCAGTAAGGAGGATACACCACTCACCACACAACCATACTTCCCACTAGACTGGTAATAAATTAGTGCTTGTAAGACATATGTGGTTTAAAAGATAAACCTCCTTCCTATATAATTTTAAAATCCATTATATAAATTTCTTAGCTGAGAAGTAAACTATTGTTCTTACTTTGCAAACAGAATGGCACCTAGGTGACATTTCTTCAACAACAGCAGACCCTGGATGAAGAGTTTGTCACAGGAAGAACAGACCCTTTCTATGCTCCAGCATGTCTGGCAAGCACTCTCTCTGTATCCCTAGGACCATGACACATGTGAAATAAAGTTGTCCCACTGCTATTTTCAAGCGCAGATGAAATCCAGGGTGCTCTTCAAACCCAGGAGCCCAACTGCTTCAGGACAGACCCCACATTATCCTCCCATTCCCACGCAGATTGTATCACCAGCCCCTTGCACAGCCAAAACTGAACAGTAAACCTGCTGCTTCTGCCAAAAAAACAAACTTTGCCTCCATATTTTAACAAGTGTAGCAACAAACTAAGCCAAAAGAAGAAAGAAGTCACCCGCAAATGCGCCTGATCAAAAGTAAGTAAAATACATATTCCTGGCCCCAGGTCTTGAAGGCCTGACGGTGCTCAGTCTGACGACCCCGACAGAATGCCAAGCTCACGGTCTGAGCTTCTACTCGCAAAACTTCATCCATCAGGAAAACAAAGAACGTCTGAGGCCAAGCAGCACAACTTTGAAGAGCGGGCTTGCAACGAGGCCAACGTAAGTAAGGACAGAAATGAACTGACCTTGACATAGGCTAGGTAATGCTCGCACTTTTCATGCATGTAGGACAGCTGCAGCCTCTCTGTGATCTGCCCCACTGCCTCTCCAGGGGTCACAAAGTAAACTCTGGGTTGCTGGCTCTTTTCCTTCTTTGCCACATCAGCAGTCAAGTTATAATTCAAACCTGTTTTAAAAAGGAAGAAGAAGAAAACAAAGGACGTCAGTGAACAATAGTTATTTTCTAGCCACCTAGCAATAGATGCTGTTGTCCCCAGGGCATGTGTGCTTGAAGAGAGGTCAACCCTTACAGGCCCTCAATCAATCACTAAGCTTCCTGTGGCTGCACAAACCCATATCCAGTTACTAATGTACTCCCAGGTTTTGTGTCGCCACATTCCCCAGCCCATCCTTTCCCGTAGGAAATTCTGTGTAAATATATACCTAGACACGCACGTTTAATGAAAAAAGAGAAACACAAGTTGCTTAAACTATATTGCTAACATAAAAAGCAAAAACACAACACAAACAACAACAGCAGCAGCCTCAAGCTTTCTTTTCCTTCTAGAACAGCACAAACCATGTCAGTGTCAACAAGGACGTGGCCCTTCCTGACAATTCCTTTTGGTGATTTGCAGTCATCTTAGATATTAGACTGTAACAAGAGGTTGATGCCTTGCACTCGGTAGCCCCCTACCCCTCTTTAGATGTTACACACCCCTGGCAGTTTATAGAGGAATAACCAGAGACTAATGAGCTCCATCTCTGTAAATCCTGTAGCCTGGTGTTCTACGGGATAAGTAGCTTCACACAATCATTTGGTTTGTGACTGGAGGAATCTGTGTCCAACAGAAAACGTAGTTGTTACCTGAAGTAGCTGTACAGCGATCGAATAACCCGAGCTGACTATGCCTTTCCTTTTGGTAAATGCAGCAACAACAGGAGCAATCAAACTGCAACAGGAGCACGAACCCTCATTTTGCTACTTTCTACAGAGAACGAAACACTGGCTGTGAGGTCTTTTCACTCATCACAGACCACGGCCTGCATTGATTTCATCTGTTATCAAGGAAATAATGTGAATACCATGATATTGGCTCACTATCAATGGTTTAATGACTTTATAATCTTTGTAAATGACAACCAGCACCGGCTACTGTGCTGATTTGTATGCAGGCTGCTTGCCAAATTATAGCTTTGGTTTCATTTAAGTCCTAAATGATTGATGCCAGATAATATGCTCCCCATAAATGTAAACTTTTTTAAAGCCAGAATTTTATGCACAATCAATGTAAATGTAACACGTTCCTGGACTGAAGTCTTCTATTCCAAATTTCAGCAAGAGGTCTTTGGTGGGTTTATGTCGTGTTTTTATTTGGTTTTGTGGTGGTGATTTTTTAAATCAATGAAAATCCTTCTCTCTCTAAATTAACACTGCTGCTAGTGCTATCCCCTTCAATCATTTCTCCACCAAAATTTCACATCTTTGAAGAATTTATTGAATGATATTGTAAAACTCAGTGCAAAAGTCCCTGTGAACATTCATAATTCAAACCGACCTCGCTTCCATTTCAGTGTGTTGCATTCTGATGAAAAGCTCACTCACACATTCACACAAAGCGACCAGAGACATACCCTGGGTAGTAAGAAAACCCACAGCTGAGGAATCAGCCTAACTGCTATCACAGGGCTCCACCTGAACTTTTTTTGCTCGCTTTTTGCGGAATGACTTGCTTAGAAGGAAAATGCCTTGAAAGTGTTTCAAACTCTGAGAGGCTCACCACCTAAAACTCTCCCTGAAGTGGTGTTTGCTCAGTCCTGCTAAAAGCACCACCTAAATAGAAACACGGGGTTTAGCCTGTTTAACCAGCAGTCTCTTTCTTAATATTTTTTTTCTTTTTTAAAGTGTGCACATCCCACACCTACCCCCAGTTTTCTCCCTTCCACTTTCAAGACCTCACATGCAAGCCCATGTGCTGAGATCCACACCATTGTCCCAAGAATAAAGACAAGAAAACCAGTAGCATCCCCAGGCAGAAGCAAAAAGCCCCACGGGGAGATGCAGCCCCCTCCAAAGGAGAAATTCCAAAGGAAGGTAGGGCAGCATAGCTTGCAGGGGCGCTTGGGGAGGCTCTTCAAAGGAAGGGCAAAGTATTGCTGACACTAACAGTTCCTGGCTGCAGGCACCGAGACGCATCTCAAGGCAAGCCCTGCACCAGGAGATGCCAGCCCTGCACCATGCCCGAGCAAAGTGCCCCCAGCTACCACCTCTCTGGAACAGCAGGGGTTGCTTTCAGTCAAGCAGCACAGTTCCCATCCTCCCCCCCGCCCCCCGCCTCCCCTTTATTTTGACAACTTGTTTCTATGTTATATCCAATGATGTCACATCAGTGGAAAAACTGAAATATCATGAGTAAGGTGGTTTTTGGTTTTTTTTCCTCTCCCCAGCTTCATTTCTTCCAAAAAGCAACCAGGGTGGGAAGATAACTGGCCAGACTTAGTACTGCTGGTGGTTTAAGTTCCCCCTGCTCGTTCCATAAGTTCCCCCTGCTCGTTCCAGTAGAAGACCTCGAGGCAATTTCTTGCTAGCATATTAACTCTTGCAGGTAATGCCTTCAAATATTTTTCCAGCAGCTTTGAGCAGGTCTGGTTAGAAATGTTTCTGGGGATCTGCCCATCCCAACTTCACACAATCAAAACAGAACTCTGGCATGGATTTGATGAGCTCAGATCAAGGACTTGATTTTTCTAACAACTATTCCTTTTCTATAACTAAAGTTATATGCCTAAAAGCTTTGATAACAGCTCACTGAGAAATTTTTGGTCATACAGATTATGCTACAGCACACAAAATGCAGGCAGCAAAATGGAATAAGCACATCCATAAGTTCTTGTTAAACTACTAGCTATAGTACTGATCAGTGGAGGGGAAACAGATCACCACATGGAGAAAATTAAGAACTTCCTAAATAATAACAAGAAGCCATTGGAAGAGGAATGCATTTCTTTGCCTTCTCTACCAGTAATTACAAGGAGAAAATGATTCATGAACTTTGCTTGCAGAGAAAATTCTCAAGTAATGAAAGTATAAAAGAAGTTGCCCTAGTATATGACAACATACATAGGACATTCCCTCCATCCTCTTCCAAAACCTTTCTCTCTTCCCCTTGCTTCAAAACTTGGTGGTTTCAAACCCTTTCTCATAGTGGAAGCTTTCTCCCAAGCTTCCAAGTAGGAAGCCATCCTCACTGCTCCAGGCTTACACAGAGCAACACGTCCATCACAGGCTATAGGACAAGAGGAAATGGTCTCATGTTGTGCCAGGGGAGGTTCAGGTTGGATATTAGGAAAAATTTCTTCACTGAAAGGGTTATCAGGCATTGGAATGGGCTGCCCGGGGAAGTGGTTGAGGCCCCATCCCTGGAGGTGTTCAAAAGACAAGTTGACATGGTGCTCGGGAATATGGTTTAGTGTTGGTTTTTTTTGTTTTGTTTTGTTTTTTGTTTTTAATTTTTTTAATGGTTGGACTAGATGATCTTAAAGGTCCCTTCCAACCTAGGTGATTCTGCTTCTGAGGCGTTCAGAGGGTAGCACTCTCAGGCCTGCGTACAAGCAGACTGGAAAATGAGAGACAGACAGAAATAATACCCCTGCACCAAACTACAGCAGGATACAGATAAGGAGTGTTCACTTTCATCAGGTTTTGGACTAGGCATGTTTCTTCAGTCTTAGAAATACATCCAAACAGAGTGAAAATGTCAAGCAACCCATTATCCCACACTAAATCTCACACCAGTCTTCCAGGCAACAGTATTTGGGACATGAAGACCACCCTAGAGATGGATCAGCACACAATGCACACCTGAAGTGAAGTAGAAGAGAAGCTTTGAAGAAGTTTCTAACCCATCTACCTAACTAGCCAAATGCCCAAAGCCCCATCATTTCATAGTCACTTAAAAGTCACCTAATTCTTACATTGGCACTAATTTTACTACTATTGTTGCTCTTATCATTGAGGAAATTATCCAGAATGTGGGCACAAGTTTATTTCCATTCTCCTGCAAGGATCAATGCATCATCAGAGATGCCAGCAGCTTCTGTTTTTTTGTCCTGGTCACCCAGAAGCGTTGGGTCTGAGCAGGCTGAAGTCTGCTCATCCAAGCTAAGAAAGACCTTTCTCTCATCCCTGCCATTCCTGCAGATACAGAGACCCCAGGAGAGATAAAGCAACGGCCCTTCAAGTGAGGGAGGAACAGTCGGAGTGAGATTCCGAGGTGAAGGAGGGAAAACCTAAAATGCTGTATTTCTCACACATCCAAGATGTACCAGAGGTTGTCTCTGTCGGTGGGCGTATAACTAGACACTCAGCTCTCCAGCAAGCACAGAGGCAGAGCGAAGGGTCGGACAATGCCTGGCACACACTGCAGAGCACATGCTTCACTTGGGCATGGCTGCTTGTTTAGACAAAACCATTTCAGCAATAAAGTCATACTTCTGAAAACCACAGACTGCATACAGCATCCACAAAATGGATGGGAGTTACACTGTCACTGGCAGTATCAAGCAGTATCAATAAACACAGATCCTCAAAAAAAAGGGAGGTGGGGAAGGTTTCTATGCAAGTGTGAGACAGTGCTAGGTGAAGACAACTTTCCTTCACGTGCCAGTTAACAAAATAACCGCATGTTCAAATAAGCATTGAAGACACACATTTGCAACAGAAGAATGCTGCCTGCATGTCCAGGTTGACTTTCTAAACATTGTGTAGTGGGTGAACAGCTTTCAGCCACTTAAAAGCAAGAGCAACACCCATCTTTTCTCCAGTAAGCATCAGCCTTGAGCATCCATGCTGACAAGGCTTAGAGGAGCGGTTTTCCCAGTCAGCACTGTGTTCTTGTCATCTGACTTACCAGGCTGCCCTCAGACATCCAAAGATTAGACAATCCCAATACTTTTAGCCACAAAACTTTGACATAGCATTTCAACACCTCCATATGACTTTCAGAGTCTGAACAACGATGTACTTCAGGGATATTCTATTTTTTTTGTCCCTACATTTAACCACGCAGGAGAGGAGCTGTTGCAGTATTTCCATTAATTGTTCTACCCTTTGTTAACTCACACTCTTCAAATGCAACATAATTAAAATGGCCTGACTGTTAGATTACAAACTGAAAGCTTATTTGAGATATTTTATCCACATCATATCCTCAAGGGATTTTATACAGTCAGATATTTCTGGCTGCAATGTTTTCACGCCAAATCACTTTGCTAGAAGCATTGTATAAAAAGACAATGGTTGGAAGTTTTGTAATCATCTACTTAGTAGTAAAAAAATCCCTTGTAATGAGAAGTATGATACTAGCCAAAGAAGATGCACATGTGCTTTCATCACAATAAATCATTGAGAGTACAGTTTGTATGACAACATAGAGGAATTAACTGGCTCTTGGAAGACACAATGATGCAGGAAGATAGGTCTTTTGCAAACAAGGGGAACAGATACTTAGATTGGAGAAAAGGGCAGCTCACTTCTTAGCCACAGGTCCAGGGATATGAAATTAATGCAAAGGAAACATTTTAATCAGTACTCCCAGGAACATAAGAAAACCCAGATATTCAGAAAATCTATTTACTGGTTTTCAGAAAGGAATTAACACCCCTGGAGCACACAGAAAGAAGAGTCTTCTCAACTGAGGAGGAGAAGGCATTACAAAAAATACTTTCTCAAAACACATATTCATCTCCTGAGAGTCATCATTTACAGGGAAGGAAAAAGTACAAAAATAGAAACTGAAGTCTCAGCTGCACCAATATGTTAGAATCCAGAGGAATCTAAAATTTAGTAACTCCTCTCTTATGAGCTGTTCAGGTGACAAAGTGACAAGCTGCAGAGAGCAACTTCAACAAGCAGCTTGTAGTTCTCACTCCATGGGAACACCAGGAGAAATAGCAAGAAGCCGCCTTCTTCTCTGGCTCATTTAAAATCCAAATCCTGCAGCAGGCTCTGTATACTGGGATGCACAGATGCAGCTCTCGCCCTTCTTGATTAGTGGCTCAGAAAGGCTGAGGCACAGAGCAGGAGGAGGCACTGCTTCCTCCAGCTCCTCACCAGTTGCCTCCTCACGCTGTGAGACTGAGGTACCTTCCCTGAGGAGCACACTGCAAGTCCTCTGTCATTGCTAAAGCATGGCAACGGTAAAACATCGTGGCTGAATTAAACAAACCCAGACCTTACAATATTTAGAAATGCTGTATCTATCCCATACCACTTCACGCATTATTTAAGACTTGTAAACATTGGGATGTAGGACATAAGTAATATTTTTATGTAGCCAAGACAGAAAGGCTTGCACAGTTACACACCTTACACAATTCCATTCACACAACAAACTCCATGTGTTTTACAGAGACTAACTAACCTGGAGGATATTCCCATTAGCAGGAAAATACTGGGCTATTAATAATCATTTTACAGACAGGTAAAATGATGTACAGAAAAGGAAGTGTTCATGTCTTGTAGGAATTCAGATTAATAGGGTTCCATTTCAAGAGCTCCTTATAGACCTTCAAAAACTATTAATCAAGAGCAAATCGCACCGGCTTTCTGGTCACACTGATAGAGGATATGGATACAGAAATGTGTTATCAAGAGATAAACAGGAAATATGAACTTACAAAGCATCAGTTGTTTCTGTGTTCTCTGTCCTTGCAGTAAGCCCGAGGACACATTTCCCTCATTTCACTGAGGAAGAAACTGCCCCAGTATTATCTCAGCCTCATCAGAAGGTAAAAACGTGCCCAAGGAAGTTCCCAGGCAGGCTCCAGCTTTCTGGAATTATATAGACCAGCTCACCTCGAAACGCCTTATTTCACACACAAGCTCTGTTACTGATTCCAGAGAGAGCCCTTGACTCCAGGTGAAGGTGATAGTGTGCTCCTGCCCACAGCCGGCACGGTGGCCTTACCTATTTCTCCAGGAACACGCTTGCCACTGAAGCGAAAGCACGCAGTGACATTGAGGCAGTTCACTGGCTGCAAGCCATCGTGGCACTGAGGAGCTGTGATGTTGATGGATGCGGGCAGGAAAATGGAGATTTCCATGGTAATGACAGGCCTGGATCTGGAGATCAACAGAGAAGTGGAATTGAGTGATCGTTCAGAGGGAAGTTCTCAACCAAATGAAAATAAAGTATGTTTGGTAAGCTGCACAATCTCAAGCAGACATGAAAAACAGGAGAGTGCATTTGAACTATAAGATAAATTAGCAATTGACCTAGCTGGCAAGGACTACTCGTGTCTGAATGAAAACCATAGCATCAACTTGAAGTTCAGTACTGACTCTGGGGAAACCAGTAACACATAATAACAATCATCTCCAGTAAAAGTTGCAGAAAGCCTTCCTGATGAATGAAGAGGATAAAAAAATTAGCACAACAACCACCACGGACAACAAGTTCATGCAAGTGAAACTGCTTGCTAGGCAGCCTGGATGGTCAGGAACAGGTAGGCAAGAGACCTTAAGTTTCCAGAGAATGGTCTACAGTCAAATTTTTGACCTGAAAGTCAAGGAGGGAGCACAGGGGTAGGAGATGGATTCATACATAATTTTTCTGACAGTATAAGAGGGACAACAGACACTACATCCATGCTTTCTGGAGGAGAGAATGTTTGGCTAATTCCCTCCTGGTGAGAGGTCAGGACTGAATAGCTGTTTCACGCTGCTAAACCCTGTTTCAAGAGTTACCTGGTATGCTGTGAACCAAAGCTTTCTACCCTTGCAACTCGAGCACCAGCTTATTGCTACGACTATTCCTGGCTGAAGACGACCTTGGCCAGGATCACAGAGCACCCACCGAGTGCCATCAGGGCCCACGTGTGTCTCCTCTCACGTAACACTGAAGTCCCGCCAGCTTGGTTGCGAAAAGCAGCCCAAAGTCCAGGCTCTCCTGAGCCATCCCCAGCACAGGACTGCAGCCCAAAAATTCACCGTGTGTTATTCTTCATGGTTTCCATTCTGTACGTGTTCAACAGGAACATGTTCTTCCAAAACCAACTCTAGTAGTAAAAAAAATGTGCAGAAACCAGCAGATTTGCTTCTAAGGTAGTCCCAGCAGCCGCGCAAGGCCAGACCATGTAAGCAAACAACTTTGGGACTCTCACTCCACAAGCCACTTAATTCAGAGGCTGGGGAGAGGGGGGAGAAGAGAGCAGGGATTGTGGTTACACCTAATTCATATTGACGGGAACAAGCTTCACATCAATCTCCGAGACAGCTGCTCAGACCTTTTTACCACAGCCTGAAATAACAGCACAAGTTCACCTTTTTGAGATGGAGGATGAAGATAAATGCTAATCCTAGAAATACATACAGTAATGGGGGAAAGGAGGAGGAAAAAGAGTGAGCTTCCTAGGATCATTTCACACCTTGGAAAAAAACTCTTTCGAAACGCTTGAGGAAACATAAAAGAATAAATGCTATAATTGACCTAGAAAAATATTTCTCCTAGGAAAAAAATATTTCTCCAGCCATGATGCAGTGTGTGATTTTTCCTTACTGTTAGCTCACTTGGGGCTCACTGGGGAAAAAAACCACACAATGCATCTGTCAAACAGCCATATACACACACGAGCAACACGGCAATGATGATCTGCCCCGAGTCACTGCCACTTCCACCAAAGCCTTTAATATCACTTGGCAAAACATTTGTTGGTTTTGGCCAAAGGACTTCACAAAGGCTTCCGGGGGGATGGGCTGATTTCTTTATCCTAATGTGAATCTAAACAGCAAGAGGGACAAATTGCAGACTTGCAGTAGCTGTAATTAATCAGGCTGCCCACAAAGTCAGCCAGTAACGCGTTGATCTCCAAAACAGCGGAGGGCCACGAAGATGCTCAGAGGGATGGAGCACCTCTCCTATGAAGACAGGCTGAGGGAGCTGGGATTGTTCAGCCTGGAGAAGAGAAGGCTCCGGGGAGACCTAATAGCGGCCTTTCAATACCTGAAGGGTGCCTATAGAAGAGCTGGAGAAGGACTCTTTGTCAGGAAGGGTAATGATAGGACAAGGGGAAACGGTTTTAAATTGGAAGAAAAAAGATTCAGATTAGATATCAGGAAGAAATTTTTTACTATGAGGGGGGTGAGACACTGGCCCAGGTTGCCCAGGGAAGTTGTGGCTGCCCCATCCCTGGAAGGGTTCAAGGCCAGGCTGGATGGGGCTTGGAGCAACCTGCTCTGGTGGGAGGTGGCCCTGCCCAGGGCAGGGGGTTGGAACCCGATGATCTTTGAGGTCCCTTCCAACCCAAACCATTCTATGATTCTGTGATTCTAAAATGCACAGGCAATGACTGTGTGGACAGCAGTCACCGTGCTTCTGCAACGTGTTGTTTTAAACATCACAGCAAGCATTTCAGATTGCCGTTCTCTACCCTGCAAGTACCAACAATGGAGGAGAAAAATGCAGTTTTCTTTCCAGTGGGTTTGGAGATGCAGGGCTATGAGACTCCATGGGGCATGGCACACCTTTTCACAGAAGCAGCAATTGGCATCCTCTGTGTGCACAATGAAGGAACAGAGAACTCTTCAGAAGACTTGACTACCTGCCACACTGATCATCAAGGGCATTTCTTCTTCCCTTCTCCTTTTCCTTTTTGTTTTGTTTAACTGATTCAAAGGGAAACAGAGCCAAGTTTTTCCTGCCTTGAACAAGAAGCAGCCGGGCGCATCCGTTCTGCAGCTCTACCATTCCTCTTCCCAGTCTCACCACATCCCGCTATCCCTAGTGTCTAATTCTAATGACATCTAGGCATTAACAGGGTTTTTCTATTAAATATTAACAAGTGTAACAACGGAGCTACTGGCAAAATTCAGTTTCCCATTCTCTTCCCCAGGTCTGTGCATCTCAAGCCCACTCTTACTCTCCACCTGCATAATTTGGTGGACCAAGCTGTCACACCTCTCTCCATCAGATGAAACAAGCAATTGCAATTAATTCATACACTTGAAACAGCAGCCCAAATCCTGTGTGCATTGCAAACATCTCTGTATTTCATTTCCCTGAAGGCTGTTATTTCATTCTGCACCCTTGCAAATTTACATCCTGGCATCGTACATAGCTGGCTTTTTACTCAACTGTATTCCCTTAAATCATAATTTATTTACTTTATGCAAATGTAAGAACAATAAAAAAGCCTTCTCACAAGTTCAGAGCAACCTTTTTAGAAAAGGCACTGAGATGCAATATATCTCCTTCTAGCTCTAACTTTTTCTTTTGTTCAGAGCCCTGGGAGTCCTACTTATTGTTATCCCTTACAACACTGTTTAAATTAGATTGTACATTCGTTGACACTATCCATGCCTAAAGTTCTGCTCAAAAGGTATTCCAGCTTGCTTCTTCTGACCACAATAAACTAGGGAGAAAACTGGAGTGGTGAAGGACTTGGATCACGTAAGATATAAACAGAAAACAGACACAAAAAGAAGACAACAGTGAATGAAAAAAGACTTTGATCTCACCTCAGAAGTACCACATTTCCTGACAAGAAGGCTCCAACTGTCATATCTGAAATTTTTGTAACATTGAGACAGTTACAAAGGAGGCACAGAATTCAGTTTTTTCAAGTCAGTTGGTAAATTATGGAGCACATGTAAAAAAAGCAATTTTTGACTTAAATCAGCCGGCTGGTCCCTTCAAATATAAATATGTCAAGAGTATAACAACACGATTATGTTTCTGGTGTTATTGCACTTCTACTTCATTGTTTGCTTTTTATTATTATTACGTTATTGTCTATGGTTTGTTTTTTTTTTTAAGCTTGTCTTCATGACTGAGCAGCTTCTAGGTAACTACAACCTTGGCCAGATAATGAAATCCTTTGCTTTAATATCTCAATCCTTCATCATGACTGTCCAAACATCTGAATCAAGCAATTTGCTCAAATTCTTATCAGGATCTTCGAATAACAGAGGGAAAAGGGAAGAAAACGCTCAGCTGCATCGGCCTCCCGTCATTGCAAGCACCAGCGATCTGGAAACGACCAGCTCCAGTGTTTTCTCAGCCTGCTGCTGCATTTCCCCCGTGCCCGTGCTGCCGGAGCAGCGGACGTACCTGGATAACCATTGCCATCCATATCGACTGCCCCCGATAGGGACTGGCCGAACATCCGCAGCATCGGGTTTATTGTTTGCCCAGACAGCTTCTGCAGCGGAAAGCACACAAGTGAAATCAGTCACTTAACACAAAGAATCCTCTAAAAAAAACCAAAAAAAAAAACCAAAAAAAAACCCCCAACAACAACCCTTCAAGCCTGATTTTCATGGCCACCGGGGCTCTTTTCGGTGGGCTGGGAGGGCTGCACATCTGCAGGCTCACACCTCACCCCCCAGCCCGGAGGCTGCGGCTGCAGGAAGCCCTTCTGACTCGGATTAAAAAACACAGACCTGCGTTACAACCCTCATGCAGACCCAAACAAAATAAAGACCACATCAAAAAGATTTCTCAGGGAAGGGGAGGAAATTTAACAGCACTGTAGAGATTTTGTCTTTTTTTTTTTTTTTCATTACATTTCTTTCTGTAAATAAAAGGTTTAAGTAGCGTCTTAACAAAATTAATGATTAATTGAAACAGAAGATCCTGCACAACCATCCTTTTTCACAAAGCTTGCCAGCATACTCAAAGTCAAAATGATTAATTTTCATCCCACTTGGAAATTCTGGTTTCCATCAGCTATTATGCAGCATTTTGTGTCAGTTTGGAAGCTGTATCTCATTTCTGCCTCCCCAATGCAAGATTAATTAACTTCTAACATAGCATCTTTTTTTTCTAATTACTAACACAAAAACTTTCTCTAAACGTTTTGAATTGTAAATGCCTTTGTCTGAAGCAAATTAATACATCAAAATCTCATTTTCTAAGAAGGCAATCAAATGTCTCCCAGCTCTCATTTATTATTCTGGGCCACCAAAGCAAGACCTGAACTCAAACTAACATCTGACTGCAGAGGTTGCAGACAGAGGAAACCTATCCCAGGAAGTAATGTCAAGGCTGTCGGTGGTGCTCCACGGCTTGTGACATGCAACCAGCTTTTCCTGGCCCTCCCAGAAAAGGACATAATATTGGACAAAAGGTCAGGCAGGAAATTCATGGGAAAAAAGGCAAGTTGAGGGGAAGAAAGATGTCCTGCAGTCTTAACAGACAGTTTAAAGGGAAAACAGTGCTCTGCCACGTACAGATCTCCTTTTCCTGCTCGTGGACAGATAAGATTAGACAACTGGAAGTGACTTCCTCCCCGCATGATACTTGCACCACATTTTTGGGAGGTCCCAGTTAGGGTGGTAAATCCCACCTGCAAACACCCCAGTGGAAGGCAGAGGTATAATGCTGCTCTGCTTTTAAGTGCCATGAATGAAAAAAGCAGGCTGCAAAGCCAATTAAGCTGCTTCTGGCTCATAGCCACCACTAAAGCTGCTGGAGGGACATGAGAGAACATTGATCAACAATTTAAACGAAGAAAAGAGAAAAGAGCTAACAAAATGAAAAGGGTGAAAACACATACACTGCAGGCCCCACCTCCACCTCTCTCAGCTTGTTTTAAAAAGGAAATCCAGGGCATTAAGATGGCTCAGGGATATAGTAATAAGATATAAAAAGTCTTTCACGTCTGAGTTCAAATCCAGGGCAGGTAGGTGAAGAGCTGAAGTCGTTACACAGTGGTTTTGGTTGCACATGAGAGATGAACCAGTGGTGTTTCTGGTGCCCTGCAGCAGACACTGGGAGATGGCAGAGACATTGCCAAAGGTGGTGCCCCCTCAGCTGCCTGAGGACATGGGACAACCGTTGTGTGGTATCAAGAGTCAGTGACTGTGACTGAGCTGGGCTTTGTCCCACTGACCCAGGGGAGAGGCACACACAGTGGGACAAAGCCACTCAACCAAAGCCACTGTCTGTTGGCCTTGTTCCAGCAGGGAGGGACATTATCACAAACAGGATGTTTCGCTTCCCACCCTGCTGATCTGGCCTTTTTCAAAAAAGGTAAAATTTTCCCATGAATGACAAAAAAAAAAAGTTTTAAAAATCTGATCCTTTTCAGCAAGAGCTGGAAATCTCCAGGCTTTTCAACAGCCAGAGAAGAATCTCGCAGCCAGTGGCTCTCAGCAAGAAACCAGCAGAATCCTCTACAAGCCACACATTCATGCCTTTTAGAAATATCCATAAAGAGTCATTTAACTTCCTTTTTTCTAAAAAGCAACACATGGCATATACATGGTAAAAGGAAGAAGGACTAAACTTCTATGGTCTGTTAGAATAGTCTCCAATATAACCACTAGATTCTTTAATTCTGCTTAAACTGATGTACTGTGAAGGATCCCACCCAGCAACAAAACAAACCAACCAGGACTTCAAATACATGGAGGGAGGGACGATTCAGACTCTCTGACAAAAGAAATAGGCTAGACAGAGACTAGATGACATGTGTTGGGCAGCTTGAGCATAAATTCATCTTCTCTTCTGCCTGGCCACAGTAGCTAAATTGCACTGCCATCTCTGCACAAGATGCTATAGCGTATCCCAGCTGAGATTTTACTTCATAATAATGGTCAGGGGAATGGCACCCAAGACCAGCCTTGTGATATATTGTCAACTGCAAGCACAGGGCCAACACTATGGGTAAAGAGGCTTTTGCAGGGCATAAAAGAAAACATAGTGACTCTTCTTTCTCACTAAGCCTGCTTCTACAGGAAGAAAGTGCAACCTCCCAGCTCCCCACTAGCCTCTCCATAATTTGTACGCTAAGCCTCTCCAGGGTTTTCATTTCTCCTCTCCAGCAGTACATTCAACCCCCAAGACATTATTTGCTTCCAGATGCAAGCTACAGCTGATATCTGTAACAAAAGACAGTGAAAAATATCTCCTAACATAGTTTTACCCTACAGCATAGATATGGACAAACTTTGGGAGAAGCCATCTTCAACCAGGACTGAGAAAAGGATGTAGGGCTATGATAAGGCTATCTATAAAGGGACCCCTAAGTATGGTTTACTTCTGCAGGCCCTGGGAAAGTGACTTCAGATAGGTATCATAAACAACAGCGTCACATACCATAGAGTACTGAGGTACAATACCATGGGTGTCCCCGTGGTAAATGTACACTGCTCCTATGTAGTTATCCTCCTGAGGCGCTCCAATGGCAACATCTGTAAAACAGTACAGATTACAAACATTTCACAATGCACTCCATTAATCCAGCTTTTTCCCAATTTTAGACGCCAGCTATCAATAGGAGAATAGCTCCCCATGATGAAGATGATCAGCAGCTCATGTGAACCTGGCCAGAAAGAACTTGTTTGATTTAATAAAGAGCTCGTGTTAAGATACACGCATGTGGCTATGCTATGCCTAAATAGAAACATGTGCTTGTTATGAAAATGTGTGTTTATTAACCAGCAACCATGCTCAAAAAGCTAATTTAGAATTCTTTTATATAAAAAAATCTTCAACCCAGGGGAACACTAGCTCTGTGAACCAGGACAGCATTGGCAAAACATAGCACTACATAAAGTTTGCTTGAAAATCCAAGGCTCCAAAATGAGGCTTAGTATATTAAATGGACAGGCAGGAAGAAAAAAAGGCTGCTGAGGGTACACTTTCAAATTACATTTGATCCAGTTAAACTGCAAACTCCTGCAGAAAGTGTGATCCCACTTCCCGTTCCCTTCTCCTAGTTGGATCTAATAACTACACAGCTGCTAAAATTAAACTCTTTCTGATGGCTTCATACCCATGGAGTGGTGCAACTCACTCTGCAGTCTCACCATCATCACAACTGACTCACAAGCAGCAGAAAAGCCACACAAATGCATGTCCAGGTGCAGAGGAAGAGGATGTCCACCTCTGGGCAACCAGCAATGAGGTTGGGTTACGCTTAATGGGATATCGTGCCCTGAGTGGACTGGAAGAAGTACATCCTGGCACACACCGAGTAAGTCAGCCTTTGTTTGGAAGTCCTTAATCTGCACTGCCAGAAATCAGGACATAAAAGGTGCCAGCATCAATACTTTGCTCTCACCTATTGCTATCACAGTATGTGGCCTCACACTGAGAGGCCTGTGAGAGCAGCAGGGGTAGAATAAATCAAAGGAGATAAATTATTAATAGAGGACATGCGATCAGGACTGAGAAGCTGCTTCTTAATTACCCTTCATGATACGAAACACAGTTATGTCAACAAAACTGGAAAGGCTTGACGACATAAGGAAACGGGAAAGAAGGAAGAAGTAAGACCCAGGTTTCTGTTTTGTTTGGTGCGAGGGTATCTAAAACCTTTTATAAACCATACAGGGAAGAACATAATGCAACAGCATGGAAAGCAAAGCAATGTTAATGAGACTGGGGTGTGAGCTGCATGAACAGGGACTAAATCCACATCAAGGACAATCAGCAGATAAATCCTTCACAAGCACATTTATCCTTAGCATGAGCTCAATTTCTGGTCACATCTGGAGGAAAAATGGATGCCACACAGCACCCAGCCATTCACCAGCAGCTACCAGCCCCTGCTGACATTTCCAGGGAAATGGCCCAGGAGGAAATCACACAAACCTGGGAAGCCATCGTCATCGATGTCACCAAGGGTGGCCATGCTCTCTCCAAAGTGTGCGTTGTAGGCACTGTCACCATCCAGGACAAGCTGCTCTTCCAGCACACCCTAGTAAGTAGCAAATAAAACGGTCAAGGAAACAGGTCAAGTCCTGGATGAGGTGAGCCCTCCCCATGGGAGCTGCCAATGCACTGCAGGAAGCACCTGGGGCAGGGCTGCAGTCTGACTCCTGCCCTCACTGCACATGATCACCTCAGCACCAAAAATATAATTTATTTATTATTATTGCCTTATTACTTATTTGGGGTTTTTAACCATCTTCTGGTTTTAAGTTTTAAGGGGGTGGAGGGAAAGGAGCATATGAGTGATATAACTAAAATGCTAAATTAACTAAACAATTACTCAATGATGTAACTAAATGCAGTCACAGGGCTTGGTGAGTTCTCAAAGGTTTCCAGATGCCTAAAATATAACAGCCCAGAGCTTGCTCTACTGGCAGATTACATCTGAGGAGTGAAATCCTCAGTCCAGGCTTATTCAGCTAAACCCCAGCAAGTTAAGGAGAATTTTCCCCTAAGCAAAGAACATTTGGGCAATTGGATTTGAAAACTTTTAAAGTACTGGACAGAAAGATTAAAGCAAAGTCCCCAAAAAGCCTTCTGAAATTAAGAATAAGGAAAGGGACTTAATGCAATAAAGAGACAGAGGAAAAGTTCAGAATAAAGTAGCTTTGTACTCCTTTGCCATGAGGAGCCTTATATGGGTCTGGTATTTCTTGCCCACCCACTTTCTAGGCAGATACATAAGCTTTAGTTTCGTACATTCTTCCCTCAAGGGGAAAGGAACATTTCCACAAGAAAACAAAATTTAGTTACGCAATGCAACTCTGTACCCACCTCAAGGGTTGGGTTTTTTTTTGGTTTTGCTTCCTTTGTGAATGAGAGTAAACTGCCCTCTGGAACATGTAATAGAATCCTTTTATTGGCTGTGGGGAGTTGCTGACTTTAAAAAAATCCCACATAATGAAATTGAAACACAACAGAGAGGGCAGGCCTGAATGTACGACTCATTTCTTTGCAGTCATCACAGGAAAGGGCAAAACATAAGTGTGTTAAATCTCACATCACTGTGCGTGCTTGTATGATAACACGGTCTTCTCTCATCTGCTGCAATGACCTCTTAAGCAATGGTGCTTGCAGAATGAAACAGAGTTTAAAACGCCCAGACTCCAAGATAAAACCCACAATCCTGCAAGCGATTGCTCCTGCAAGTAATTCTTGCTGCAGGAGTATAAGAAACTCCTACTAGTTTCGTGACTGTTTTATAAAAGATAAAAATTAACTCATGCACCCTCTCGCTGTGAACAGGACATATTGGCTGTTATCTCTGGTCACTCTGGAGGGTGCAGCAGCAACACTGCAATATAAGAAGTGGGATAGCCTGTGGATCAGACTGAAAAAGTAAAGCTCATTTAAGGAAGAGTAAATAAAGTTACACCAAAGGCGACTCTGAAGTCACCCGAATGCTGCCCATAGGACCTGAGCTGAATGTTAAGCCTAGCATAAATAAACTCCATACATTAAAGTTCACAAAATACTGATGAAGCAAATCAATTTCATTTTAGTCCACAACACCTGCTCCTTTGAGACAGCAGGTTTTGAACCTGAATATTAAATATTTAATAACATATAAAAATACATTGCTTTGCTATAACTACAACAGAAGAATGATCTTGTTTTGCTGATGCAAGAAACTTCAGACTTTTCCAAGACTGTTGTTGGGTCATGTGAAATCCAACAGTGCCAGCTGATAAGAATTTCCCCTGAAGTGTGAAGGGGAGTGAAATCCAACAGTGCCAGCTGATAAGAATTTCCCCTGAAGTGTATATATAGGGCATAATATAAAGATAACATGAATTCAAGCTCTGGTTTCTCTTCACAAGGTCTCTTAAATCCCCAGGCATTTGTGTTCTAATTTGTAGGTTCTAGTGACCACCCAAAACATAAAGGAAACTCAGTCAAAGCTGCTGACTCGTACTTGGGTTTGGCACCAAATTCATGTCAAGCCACAAATACCACCAAATTTCAACATAAAACCAGAAACTTTCCCAGACCTCCTTGAAAGATTCACAGCTCTGTGATGAATGTGGGCTGGTGCCTGGGAAATTGTGATACCAGATGAGCTTTCCGTGACTTCATGCTCTGCTAGAGACATCCAGAGCCCCACTATTTGAGAAACTGAGTTTCACCATGCAGTGCTGGAAGGACATTAGCATTATCCGGCCCAGACCCACGCCCTCATCCCTTACCAAGTCATCTCCTGTGCATACTCACGTTTCCTCTGTTGATATAGACTGTGACTTGACCCTCATCTCTGATCTCAGAAAACATAGGTGCTCCGACCAGCAGGTCTGACAACCCGTCAGAGTTCAGATCAACTGCACATAAGGAGGAGCCAAAGTAAGAGCCCATCTGTAACCAAGCCGAGTCACAACAAAGCATTCAGTATCTGCCCACACACAGGAGGAAGTAATTTAGGCGTAAGTGGTTTTTTTGTTTTTAATTTCAAATAATGACTTGCTGCTTTATCACTCACAAGCACTCCTACAGAGAAAAGCTTAGGGGTTAATTCTGGCAGGAATCAAACACTTTACTGTAACGGTGCATCGGCTTGGATGTTTTACCAACAGAATAAAATTTGTGCCCTGGGACATGCTTGAGACATTTAAAGAGCTTTCTTAGACTAGGTTTCACTTGTCAAATGCTTAAAGCCAAGAAAGGGTGAAGTAAGTTTCCCAAACCAAGACCTGGCCATGTCAGACTCCCTAAAGAGACTTGAAGTTGGATTCCACAGATTTTTCTGGGGATACCTTAAAGAAATAAAGAAAAGAAATAAGAAAAATAGGCATGGAGTAAGGTATCCATTAAAAGAGGCATCTAAAATTACCTCTTGATTGTGGACTATCTTCCCCTGCTCTATTTGTATCAGTCACCTTCAAATAGCAGTACTGGCTGTGGGTTTTGACCAGTCTTTCCTCTCGTGTACAGGCAGGTAAGTTGACACAGACAGAAGACTTTCAATAAAGCTTTTCAGTTGATACACAAAAAACCTAAGTCACTTTCAATCCCTCATTGTTACTGCTTGACGAAACTTAATTGCTTAAATTTAAGCAATAAAATAATTTCATTGCATCATTTTTGGTAGGGGTTAACATTAAATGCTAACGATCTCCAAACCAGCACCCACATTATGAATTTCAAAACACATTTAAACACAAGGAGGAAACCAAAAGCAAGAATGATATTCCACCCTTATTTCACCCACTTCTGCTAAGGTTTCATGAGGCATACTCCTTGAGACTTACTACAAACCATAGTCTCAATATTAAAAGCAACTTCCAATGGAAAAATATATAGGAAAAAGATACCACTTCATATTAAAATTGAGAGCTGTTTACCTAGTAGGAAAAATTGAAGTTACAGAAATAGTTATTTAGGTTAAAAAGAATTAATTGTATTTCTTGCGTGCTTTTACATTCTTCATTGTAGATCTCTGACCCACAGGCTTCCACGCCTGATAAGTTTACATGCATGAGCCAGAGCTACTGGGCATGCCTGGAGATGGGCAGCAGCAACTCTATTCGATGCAGTCTGTAAGATTTAAAAGCTGTTAAATATATAGAGAGGGGTGAGGTAAGGATAAAGTTTCAGTTTGTAATTCCGATTTTTGTGTTTGTGTGGGTTTAAGGTCAGAACCTCAAGCATCATTCGATTCCAGTTATTTAGTAGCTCAAGTTCCCTTGTGGAATTTTTATTTGTTTATTTTATTTTAATCCACTAAGGTTTTAAAACAAATTTCTCATGGGTAAAGAGCAAAAGTTATTAAAAGCATTTCACTCTGTATTCAGGCAGTTTTCAGGGAAAGGCTATTATTTACTTAACTGCAACATGGTAAGTCTGCAGCGTGGGTGAGTTCACAGTGCAGCAAGACCCTGAAGTTTGTGTGCTCAACATTTGTAACAAGGCACTGCATTTTCCTTTTTCTTGCCTGCTTTTGATTTCCTAGTTCAGCCTCCAGCAATAAAACAGGGAAGGAAGGAACTGGCCTGCTTTTAACATCTGTCTAACAAGAATGTCAGAGCAATGAACTTTCACACCGCTGGGAGGGACGCAGCATTTTGTGAGAGCTCATTTCCAGGCAGCGCTCATTGCTTCGCGCGCCTGGTTACATTTCAATCACAAAACAAAGTAAGGGTGATTTAGGACAGCCTTCTCTCTAAAATGCAATTCTTATGTGGATCTAAGAGAATTTATAGAAGACAAATGCTAATGGGGGAGGAGGAGATGACAGCCTAGAAGTACTTAAAGGATGTAAATACTTGATTAGTTAAGTCACATATAAGAATAACACAATTAAACTGGAAAAGGAAAGTTTTTGGCTGAGACCTGGAAAATTCCTGATAGCTCTGTTTATTAGGCTAAGAAATAGTTCTCCAGGAGCACATCCTTAGGGACACTTAAAAGTCAACAGGGAAAGAAATGAACAGGAAGAAATCAAATACAGGCGATGGCCTAGATGAACGGGGAGGTCTTTTCCTTTCAAGATGTCTGCAATTCTGCTAGTGCAGAGAAAGATAAATTTTGGAGGGGCCCTAAAATACAAGTCAAACCATCCACCTACACACCATGCGGTTTACCCCTATTCCAGACACACTTCTAAACACTGCAACTGTGTTTTGTTGGGAAAGAGTAACAAACCATGCTAACACTCCCAACTTGATGATAACACTCAAACACTTCAGATCCTTCTCAGGGTGTCAGGTCTTCCTAGAGCCAGAAGCCACTAGTAACCTTTTTCTTCTGTTATTTCCTCTCCTTAAAGGAGAACACAGGCAATCCTCAGATAACGGGTATCGTTTCCTCACTGTGTTATTCCCAAATAAGACATCTTTTTTGTTGTTACCTACAGTTAGACATACTGTCCACTTCACTTCCCTGCAACACATCTCTAGCAAGCCCCCAGTGAAGAATACAAGCTGTTCCCCACTCAAACCCAACATCACACAGTGGGAACTGGATCTCACTAGCATTCACTAAATTTCACGAAAGGGCACTTGAGGGGGGCTGTTCAGCTCTAAGACACCAATTCTAAGAGCAAAATGCAGTGCTGATTCATGCTGGTAAGTGGGAAACTGTCATCTCCTGAGGCAGTGAAGCTGCTCCTCCACAAAACAGCATAACTCTAATATCCCCCCTGTTACAGTATGACATAGAAAAACAGACTGGGGCTTGGTGTATTAAACTAAGCTCCAAGCAACCCACATCTCCCAGTAACACCTACTAAGAGGAAATCTCTGCATCTAGGCTCACCTGGCACCCCATGTCCCTCATCTTAGAAAGCGCTGCTACAGCTGCGTAACGCTAAAGAGAAGCACTACTACCATTTTCAGCAAGACCTTTAATTTCAGTCACATGGGCATTGAGTAGACATTGCAGTCATGACTGCTACAAGAGAAAGGGCATACAGTTGATCTTGGTTTAGCTCTTCTGGAAGGATAAGGAAAAACAGAATTTGCTTCGCAAGTCACGAAGCAATGGAATGAAAATGGTGCTCTGAGAGCACCCTGCCATTATTCCCCTCTTCTCTACCCCTTAAAATAAAACACAACTACATAAAAGCTCACCTTTTTTCCTGAAGCCTGAAAAATCTTTATTAGAGAGCCTGATCGTCTGTCTGTTCTGAAAATATAAACCTGAAAAGTGAGAAAAAAAAAAAGTTGATCAATAATAACTAAGAAGCACACAATGCTACAGCATTGATGGTTTCTAAATAATATCTAAATCACAATCATGGCCATGGCTATTGCCAAGACAAAACATACAGTTCCCCCTTTTCCCAATGAATCACAGGTCTCTCATGGGAAATGCTTGAGCAGTACTTTGTCGCCTACTTAACATGTGCTCATGCACACCGAGTAAGTATTAGCTTTTAGCACCTAGCAAAGGAACTTTCCAACTCTCCAACAAGTAGCATCTGGAAGGGTGTAAAAGGCTGAGAAGGCATGACCCTCCTGGCTCTCTCCCCCTTATACAGCCTTGCCTTCTCAACAGCACGTGCCCGCGTGTGCTGCGCTGCACTGCAAACATAAGGATGCTTTAGCAAATGTCAGAGTAGAAAACTCAATCAGACCACCTAAGGCATTTGTGCCATTTCTGTCTGAAACAATCTGTAAATCAGAAAACTATTAACACATAGTCTGCTCATTGCTCATTTCCACAGGAGAAACCGCTTTATCAAGAACTCTCAGGGCTAATAGTATTGATGCAAGTTCAGTAACAGATCTTGTACCAAAATTCAAGACACATGGCTTGCAGAAAGAAAATCTCTTCAACAGAAAGGCTGGCTCAGTCAGCATTTGAGACTCTTCCAGTGTTTGTCAGGCTCCCTTCTAGCAGGTGCTCACGCAGTTTTCAGGACAGAGGATCCCTTACTTCCAAGGCCACACGGCAGAGCCAAGCACTTGACATAGTTGAACATGTGGCAAGCTACTAATAGGTGGTGAGACAAAGTTCAAAGCTGTTTTCAGCTGAGAACACAACACAGATTTACTGTGGACAATTGCTGTAGATATAAAGGACTCCCTAGGTTTTGCAGTGGCATGTTTACCATCGAGAGTACATTGCCAGGTGCCTCAACTCCAAACCCAGCCTTAACTAATGACACTCTTGGTGACTTTGGAGAAATGACTCAGTCTCATTAAGTATGTTGGCTTTACCTTCAGTGAAAAGGGTGCGACAATGCTAATTGCTTTCTATCAGGGAAGTGGAAAGGATTAGCTTATTAGAGAGTGTGGAAAGCACAATAAGACTGCCCAGCATAATGTCCTGTACTCAACATCTCATACTGCCCTTGGCCGTGTATTCCTGCTACCCCCATCACATGCCAAGGGAGAATAACGAGAGCTTTTGCAACTAGAGCAGTAGTATTTAAACTACAGAGCCAGCTGCTTTCTCATGGACCTCATGTTAGCAGCTGGTATTTTCTCTCCTCATTGTACAGAAGTTGAATCTCTTCCACAAAGAAAACAGGTTAAAAGGAAGGCGCATTGGTGTGCTACTACTATACCCCCTATGTGCTAGCCACACCAGGTCAGGTATATGTACCAAGTTCATCCTCTACTTCTATTCTGTTTTCCCCACTTGTGCTGCTGTCCCCTGAGATATGGTTACTACGAAAAATAACATTCCTAAACCAAGAGATAGTGTTCTGGTAGTGGAGACTTCTCACTCCTTATTTTTATGACTCAGCTGCAGCTCACGTCCCTGTAGAGAAAAGCTAGAGGGAGGAAGATGAAAGGGGGCTGCAGGACAGCAGGACATTTTTTGGTCCCAAAAAGATTGGATTTAGAAGAAAAAGGGACAAAAGCAGATCCTTTACATCCTTTCCCTCTGTCTCTCCACTCCCACTTCTCCATCTCTGGTTCAAAAGTGTATAAGGGTCACAGCACTCCCCTCCAACCAGCTCCCCTGACAGCAGCCGAGTACTCAACACAGAACACCACGCACATGGAACTCACCACCCATTTCCACCTAGCCATTCACTTGCTTACATCTTTGGAACATTGAACATATGTATGCCTACAGGAAAATACATTTTTTTGTTTTTCTTCTCAAGAGACTATCACCAAGATTTCTAAGTACAGCTGGCAGAAACCCATACTCTAATCCACTAAACATCAACGCATTGTGAAGTTTTAAGAGGGACATCAAATCACCTAGTAAATGGCTTTTCATGCTATCACAGATGCTACCCTGAAGTAAATAGTCAAATGTATGAAGAAGATAAGCAGAAGACAAACTCTCTTTTTCAAGTGTTTTCATTTCCAGACAAGGTTTAAGCAGTATCTGTGTGTTACAAATCCTAAACAAAAGCAGTGTGAAATAAATGTTGCCTGTGTCTCGTTAAAATAACTATTGTAAGGATTGGACAGGAGAGAGAGGAAAGACAGGGGTGAGAGATGTGAGGCACCAAGAGATGCCTCAGAAAATTTGATGACAGGTCAAGAAAATTTGATGACTTCATCAAACTACCTCACCTCTCCCCTGTTCAGTGGTCCGAAACTACTCTGTGGGCAAAAATCTCTTGGCTTCTCAGACATATGGGAACAACATCAGTATTATCATTTTTGCCTGTTGCATCCAACCACATTATTGTTTGACAAAAAACCACACCTTTCCGATGCCTCCGTCCTGGGGAGCTCCTCCTACGACATCCGTGGTAGTTGGCTGAGAGAAATGACCTGCTGTCACCGCGTATCCTGAGCGGGGGATGGGGTGGGAGAGGAGAGAGGAAATAAATAAATAAATGATCATGAAAGGGAAGGGCCTGAGAGACAGGTCAGCCAGCTGGATCACGCTCATTGGGTTTAACTGCTCCTCCTGGGCTGCACATTCAACAGCCACTCTGCTCAAGGCGCGCCAACCTTCCGCACAACATCTCACAGCAGTGGGAAGTGCACCCTCCAGTCCAGCTGGGAGAAGAAAGGTGCGTGTGGAGTTGGCGAGGGACACAAAGTGGGTACGGGGAGCAGCTCAGTAACCACCAGAAGGGATGCGATCAAACAGCAACAGGCCAGCAGAAACAGAGGAGACCACCTTGTCACAGAGAAAAGTTATCACATCAGAGAGTGACGGTCCTATATTGACCAGACAGAAGGGTCCTCCTTTGGCTAAAATCACTGCCCAGGAAGGCTTGGAAAATAATGTGCCTTTTCCGTCGGTGGAAGGGAGTGCAGAGGACAGTAGGGAAAGAGGTCAGCAAAGTTAATGGCTTAAAAAGATTTTTGTTTAGGCAAGAAGAAAAATGGGAGGATAAATCAAAGAAAGAAGGAGTGTATTTGATAGAAGGAGATCAAAGATTCAGTCTTAGTTGATATAATAAAATGATATATAATAAGTAAAGAAGAGTCAAGTGCTTTCTTTCTAATACTGTCTTGTATTTGCCTTGGTCTTCTGCTGTAAATTATAAGGCTTTTGTCTACAACTATAATTCAGTTATAATTCAACTAACACTATAATTCAGGTCTATCAGCAGCAAAACCTATTTATGTGCTTAAATATTCATATATACACTCCTCATTTAGCTAATGCCAAGCAGCATCTTCCAAGTGGTATTGTTTTAAAGACTAAAGGTTAATGGGGATAAGAGATGTCAATGCGAGTCTTTAGTCACTACTGACTGTTTGAAATGCCTTCTAAGTCTCAACAGTCTTAGGCCCTGGGAATTAGGGGGAAGCCTTTAAATCAAGTTTATTTGGGACATTAGCTGGTTTTAGAGTAAGTAAAACCAACTGAGTTAAAGATGTACTCAAACCGATAGCAAATCCTTTCACAACCTCCTTGTGTTGCCAATGTCTCGCTTGAACGGTGCTATTTTTGTTGAAATAAATTTGTATCTGCAATATACATTCTATAATTAACCGTCATGCCCATTTTAAAGACGGGGTAAGCAAGCATGCAGCCTAACCAATGACAAATAATTTGTCCATCACAAGGCAAAAGCAGGAATGTAGGAGGCCCACTACCATCCAACCTGCTTTTCAGTTAAAATGCATTTCATATATTAGTAAAAAAAATTGTAGCAAATTTTTTTTAAAACAAGCAAAAAAAAAAATGGAATATTCTGGCTGTTTCTTTGCTTATGTTTCTTTCCAGGTAGGTAACACTTTAATTCAGATGTTTTTCCTTTCATATTTCTCATAAAAATACACCACCAAAAAAACCCCAGTATCAACTTTATAGCATCAAAGCCTTGAAATATGTTATTGGACTAATCCATTCTTACGGTAAACACCAGAGAGCCACTTACCAAGGTAGGTGTACCGCCTAGCTATCACAGCATCATCGTTCAGCTTGTAATATGTGTTGTCGGTGAGATTCAGTACTTTGACAGTTCCTGTCCAATAATAAGATCCTGGTGCCCCCATGATGACCAGCTCCTATAAAGGAAAAACAGAAGGATGTGGGGGAAAGGATGGGGAAAAAAAATAAATAACAATTGAAACTGGACAAAGATTCACGCTTTACACAGTACTGGAAAAAGGAGAGGTTATTAACTTAAAACTCCAATTATCAGCCCATCTATAACAATCTCCTTTCTGTGTGCATGTAGAGGATATCCTTCTTCCCAAACATGGAGGTCACTGCATACACCCTGCAGACACATGGCCCACTTCTACTCAGCTGTTCTGCTGCTTCAATAAAAGACCTTCCTCAATCTAACTAACCACCAAACTTACCCCTGCTAACACAGTCCTCCCAAAAATCTCTCTCCACCTGCTGTCTTTCCTAAACATCTTCCAGAAGACCTGATGACCTCCACCAAGTGACACAAGTGCCCCAGCCCACCCAGACCCACTACTCAGCAACAGTCTCAATGCTGGCTGACACGCTATACCAACCAATCATGACAGATACAGCACAAAGGATTTTGATTTTACAAATATGAAGCTAAATAGCTGTTCTGCACTCAAAAAGAAGCAGGGTGTGCATTGTGTCACGGCTGAAACATTTTGCCTTGCTCTGTCCTCAGATACAATCTGCTCTTCAAGAGACAGCCTGGCTGTAGTTCATTACAGACACGCAGCACAATTCAGGATTTTAAAAGACTACAAATCAGGCAAAATTTGATTCAGCATCCAAACGTAGATGATCATGGATAATCCTTTTTAACAAAAATCAAAGGTACATTCACATGCAAGAGAGATTGCAAAAAGTTTGCCCCAAAGCATCTAACATTCTTATGGGGAAACCTTACTCCTGGATGTGGTTTTAAATACCTCCAGCAAGGGACCAAAGTAAGCCTGGGAAGTATTAAGCCTAGGTAGGTTCTCCATGCCTGGAGAAGACACGAGGACAGCTGCTTTGCCTCACATCTCCATTCAGTGCAAAGCCATGGGCAAACTCCATCCTTATGGGAAAACACTCCCACGCCCAGGACCCCTTCGGGTGATGAGTTCCAGTAAGGGGGAGACATGTAACAACGGATTTTTCCTAATAAGACTACAGGGTCAGGACTACAAACCCAACCAAAGAGCAGGATGTGCTTGGCAACAGCTTTTTTCCTTGGGAGGGGCCATGCCCTTGAGGTCAAAGGATCTTTTACTGGCAGGAATGACTACCAGCAGCAGTGCTGAATATACAGTAGGGGTTTGCCTGTTTGACCCAAAAAGCCATTTATCTGCATTTCCTGCTCAGTGAGCTGCCATCAGGCTGAAGCAATGAAAGTTCAAAGATATCTTTTGAACTAGGGTAGCAAAGGAGGATATAAAGCATGAGAACAGAAACAGGCTGGAGAGGGCAGGCAATCAGGAAACAGCTGCTGCTGGCTGTCTGAACACCCAGTTATCAGACAGTGCCACTGGGACAACATCACCTGCCAACCCAGTTTACTCGGAAATCACCTTCTGCGATTTCAGAGAGGACACCTTTATTCTGCTTATATAAGCCTGGACAATAAATTCTGCAGACCAGTGCATACATAGTTAGGAGTGAGTATATACCTAAAGTGACAGTAACAGCATACGACATCGAAATAGCCTCTTTTTTTTTCCTTAAAAAACAACAACAAAACAATAGAACCACAAAACCAAACCAACCAACCAAACAAAAAACCCCAAAAAACCCAACAAAAAACTCAAACCAACCACCCCCACTCCCCCCCAAAAAAGCAAGAAACCAGCCCTGAAACATTACAAAAAAACATCAACATATACATAAAGAAACAAATTAATCCATGACATAACTAAAGCATGGCTGATAAACTTTCTGTCCAGGAAAGAATATGGTCTGGTAGTTAGAACACAGCTCTGGAGTATATATTTTACCATGCTATTTTTCCTCTGTCTCTTTGAAATAAAGAACTGAAGCAGAAGTAAAAAAAAGTGTGTTTATCTTATGTATGTGTATATGCATGTGCATTTATATATTTACATAGACGCATATATCCATGTGTACGCATACATAAACAAAGCCATTCAGGGAGGAAAGCTTTACATCATCACTTAAAGAGTTAATGTTAGACACAAAGATATCTCTATGCAAGTTTTGGGATGTAGACAATAAAAACATTCCCTAAGGATGTTTCTCAGAGTCAATTCATTCATTCCTGTCCACAGTCCTTGCACATACACCTACATAGAAACCACTGGGCAGGCGTTGTGCAAGATGCAGATGCCCAGGAGGGCAGACAAGGCTGTTTGCTGGCAGGCCAGGAGCACACTCAGTGCCCAGCCTGCTGTCCAACCTGTGCTCGGGGCTCTTCTCCTGGGTCCTGGGGCAGGAGAGCTGCTCACCAACCCCATCCCCTCCTTGTGTGCACCCCTGCTCACCTCAGTGAAGAAGCCTGCGATCCCTGCCTGGCATGAGCCATGTTCCTCCCCGTACTTCTTCTTGTACTCTGCATGGGAGAAGGGAAGAAAACAAACTGTGGTCATCCCTGGCATGGCACATGCTCTCCACTCGAGCCGTCAGCATCCCTGCACACACAGCCTGGAGAGACACAAGCATGCAGGCCTCCTGGATTTTATCACTGGATCTGCCACCAATGTGCACATCCTCACCCGCATACCACACACGCACCACTCCCCCTTTATATATTACAGTCTTTTCCTAACATCATAAACATGCTCAGATTTTAAGGAATTTGCTGAGATCATAATAGTTGCACAGGGACATGTTTAATTGGACAGACCATGCAGAGCAGTGACTTGATCCACAAATTACAGCTCAGATGCCTAACGTCCTTGGCCAAGGTAGGGTCCTGCCAAAACAGATGTGTGTCCCAGCAGATCAGAGGGGCCAGAGGCACACTTGGGTTTCCTAGTGGAAATGCATGATGACAATTCCACTGAGAAGTAAAGCCCATATTTGATAGTGGCTATTCAGAAACTCTTCACATATAGTAGCTCACAAAGCCAAATGCTCCTTGCCTGGGAAAAATATATTTGTTTATTGATAGTAACATTTTTTTATTCAGAGAGCCGAGGAGATGAGGTTTCTCCCTCTGGCTTTTCCTGAAAAATAATGCTGCACATGTCCTAAAGGCCCCGCTTTTGCCACGGCTGGATTCCCACCCTTGCATAGGATAAAATGCCACAAGTTCCATGCCCGTCCCATTCAGATGCTTTCACTTCCAGCCAAGGTCTTCCCTTTACAGGATGTACTGAAGTGTGAACAGACCTTGCTTTTTCCCAATTTTGCACCTAACCTACTGTAATTCAAAACCAAACCCTGGAGGTCTGGAAGTGCCCTTCTGCTGTACCTGCTCAATGTGGCAGGAGGCTTTTACAATGCTAAAGCTCAAGGCATTAGAGACTGGATTCTTAAATCCCACTTTATAAGATTTATTTTTTTGATGGAGGGCTAGAGGGGCTCAGGCTGGTGCTCAGGCAACCCAAGCAAGCACCATGCCCTGCCTGAAAAGCCACTCCAGGGGCCACACAGCCATGCCTTGCCTGCCAGCCCGGCCCCCCATCCACCACAAGACACATCGCCCACCGTCCCTTTAGGCACAAGGGGCTGTGGTCCCTGCTAGATCTCACTCATGACTCAGGTCAGGGCATGGCCTCTTAATAGTGAAATGAGCCCCTCAGCTGGGACACAAGGAGAGAGGATTTCTTATGCGTATATTTCTTTTGAGAGCACTCCTCAATGGCTCTCTGCATCTGGTCCAAAACCAACCGCTGCAAGTGGGCCCCCACTGACAATTTGATGGATTTAAAATGCTGTATTTCCCTATAAAATTGTATTATGCTTGGCTCATGGTTTCTTTAAGTGTCTCCTTCAAAAAACAGATGGCTCAATTTGCTTTAAAATATAAGAGGAAAATTGCCATAGGATATTTAACTCACGCAGTGAAAGATTTAGGTCAGGTGAATAATGACATAACTGCAGGGGATGCCTCAGGACAGGAGGCAAATAAAACTCTTATTTTGGATTTCCAAAATTATCTTGGTCTTCTTTTATAATCAGGCTTTCTGGAACTTTTGTCACAATTCAGCAGCAGGTCACAAAGCCTCAGACGTAATGGCGGCTTCCCAGGTAGACTTAGGTGAGGCCTGAAGGCCCTCCAGGCTGTCACCCCACACCACCCCCGCCACCCGAGGGCCTCCATCCACACACACCTGTGGGTGCAAGCCATCCAGCTCCATCGAGCTCTCCCCTGAACATGGCTGCAAAGAAAATCCAAGGGCATGCAAAAGCGTAGGAGGCTAACAGAGCCATCAGTAGCAGCTTTAGGAATAGAACAAGGCGTGGTAGAGGGATTCCATAGCTTCATCCAGCTGTGTTTAGCAAACATGCAAAATTACTTTGGTTCTTAGGATTAACGGGGGATTTTCTTCTGATAAAACAACACATGCACAAACACTGCACATTGACTGTCTCCAATAAAGTCAAAAAGCTTGCTGAATTCACAGCACTGTTTTATTATAAAATTAATAAAATAACTAAAAACAGTCCAGGGGCCCCCAACATAAGAAGGACATGGACCTGTTGGGGAGAGGCCAGAGGAGGCCACAAAGATGATCGGAGAGCTGGAGCACCTCTGCTATGAGGACAGGCTGAGAGAGTTGGGGTTGTTCAGCCTGGAGAAGGGAAGGCTCCAGGGAGACCTTGTAGCAGCCTTCCAGTACTTAAAAAAGGACCTACAGGAGAGATGGGGAGGGACTCTTGTATCAGGGAGAGTAGCAATAGGATGAGGGTTAATGGTTTTAAACTGAAAGAGGGTAGATTTAGATCAGAAATTATGAAGAAATTCTTTGCTGTGAGGGTGGTGAGAGCCTGGCCCAGGTTGCCCAGAGAAGCTGTGGTTGCCCCATCCCTGGAGGGGTTCAAGGCCAGGCTGGATGGGTCTGGTGGGAAGTATCCCTGCCCAGGACAAGGGGTATGACTAGATGATTTTTAAAGGTCCATTCCAAACCATTCTATGGTAATACAATTTTGTCTACTTAAAAAAAAATCCAAAACAAAACACCAACTTCAGATCAGCAATATAGATACCAGAAAAGGAATAGAAACACATATATTGTTTTCATTGTCAGGCGATGAAAAATCAATTATTCTTTAAATGAACCAAATTATTACTAACCTCAGTGCATAAGGAATGAGAGAGATGTTGTGTATGATTGTGTAAAACCAAGTTGGTACGTCCACTGAAGCACATATTTTCACAGACACTGTTCATGGCTTTCCGTGATGTTCAGTGTTTTTTTAAATCACCTACATTGGCAATACTGTCTGCTCGAACTAACGGCCCAGCATTGCAGCTAAATAGCTAGCTACATTGTGGTTGTAACAGTGGGTAGATGGAATTGCAGCATTTCAATTAAGTTAAGAGTCTGGATATAAACCATGCTTTTGTGAACAGAGAAGAGATCAAATAAATACCTGACAGTGCTTCTCAGGAAAAAAATAGAGCTTACAGAAGAAGAATAAATGGATTCATTGCAGTTACGTGTTGTGACATACAGCTACGATGCAAAGCAATGACTGTCCTTCCTCCCTACAGGTATCAAGACTCCATTTTATCATTATTGGGTCCGAGCACACCACACATACCAATTAACCTCTTTTCCTAACACCTCTGAGAGGGAAAACCGCTTTAGTGACATTTTGCAAGAGGAAATGGAAACATAAAGGCCCAGACACCTCAGATATTAAGGCCATTTGAGTGCTTAAACCTCCACTGGCACAGAGCAGAGATGAGCACTGTGTTTCGGGAGGATGCAGAAAGAGGCAGTGTTCCCCAGGGAGCCAGCAGCCCAGCCCAGAAGGACATGGAGCTCCAGCACAACCCTTTCAGCACAAAACCACCTCTCCTCATCAGCCCACCTAACTCCCACCTGCATGCAGCTCCCCATGTCCCTCCCCACATACCACCTGGGTCTCCTTCCACCCATGTGCCCATGGTCACAGCCCAGGGCAGCCCCCCATATCCTGGACATTCCAGCCCCAGAAACTTCTGCCTCCTCCCTAGAGCCGGTCTGCCTATCCCAAGCAGCGGATGAACCCAAAAGGCATGAAAGCCAAGATTGCTTCTACCTCACTTCCACTTTGGCACACAGCAGTGACACCTGTCACTCGTTCAGCACTGTCACCTGTCCATTCACACATCCACGCAGGGAAACAGCCAGCCAGCAGGAAACCATGCAGTCACTGTGTCAGCTCACAGCTTTTGCACACCTGAACAGCAACAGTTGCATGAGGTTTAGATATTGCTTATCGTGGATTCGGTAGTTTCTGCATAGATCCAGGAAATAACTGCTGTCATGAACAGATGCTTTGTTTTTATACTTCTTTATTGTTCCTTCTCATCTGCCCTCAGACTGCTGTATACCCAGTTACACAGACCACAAGCTACTAAACTAACTGCTCCGGCAACTGCTGATAGCAAAGCAGTAAGATGAGGCTAAGTCTGGAAGAGATGGCTGCCTCTGCAACTTTAAAGATGTGCCACAAATAAATACATAAAGCAAAAAAGACAAGAAGACAGTACTGGTTTGTAACCATGATGATCTCAGGTTATAAGAGAAGTAGGGCAGAGGAAGAAATAATTGGATAAAACTGTATAGAAATGGGTTAAGCTGTGATGATTCTGATGGCAAATGCTCCTCAACTTCTCTGAGCAAACCTCTCAAAGTCTCTAAGCAAACTTCAGTGCAATAACATACCATAAGCTTCACAGTGCAAGAAAATCCTGTATCTACTATCCTCACAGATGGAAGCAAAGTGGACAGTTACAGTAAACTATCATTTGCACTGTAAGCCTCTTTCTTCCTATCTGACAGTGTTTCACTGTCAGAAACAGTAGCAATCTTTCTGACCTAGCATTGTGGCATTGGGTTTGCACCACAAAGCAGGGATGTTTTGATGGCTCTCAGAAAACCAAATGTGGTCTGGACCCTGTGGGAAAATTTGCTTATCCCTTTGGAGGCGAGGCATGCTAGCATGTGCTGTTTCCCTTATTTACTAACCATCGGTAGCAAAGGGTCCATCAGTCTTCCCCACCTCCACCACCAGCCTCTACCACAGAGAACTAGGAAGCTATCCCAGCTCTCCCCATCAGCTGGGCTGCCTCTCACAGCAGATATCACCACCCTTCTTTGCAAACTGAGTGCATCAGGGCAGGGGGGGATGAAGAGGCAGCTTCCTTTTTTTTGGAAGGCCATTAAAACTATGGGAAAAATAAACAAGTGAAAGCACTGCCTGGAAGACTATGGCTCCGTACACCAGCTGTACCACAAAGAACATCCAGCTCACATAAACCAGAGTAGTGCCTACTCAGAAAGATTGCATTTAACCATTAGGCTTGCTGCTGTTCTCATTAGCTCCCACTCACTTCCAGACTACTGTTAGCCCTTTCAGGGAGCCAGACAAGAATAAGATGGATTGAGACTACTATGTTGTTGCACCACTACCACCCAGTCAGGAAATTCCCATTTCCTCCCTTGTCTTTAATTATTAAGCCTGCTTTATGTGCGGAGAAAACATCCAGTATGCATTAAGTACACCTGTCCCAATGTCAGACTCCATTTCTTGCACAAGACTTTTGTTATACAAGATAATAATAATTCATCTTGAGGTGCTCACACACACACACACACACACACATGGAGACTGACATGCATTCTACTGTCCCACACCCTTCGCCAGTTAGGCAAGAGCCAGCTCTGGTTGCGCACCATCCACCCATGCCAGCAGCAGGGCTTTATTACCTCAGCTGTGCTAACGATGGGGCTTAGGGAAATAAGAACACAACTGCCTGCACCCATTTACAGACAGCAAGTCCCAGAGAAGGCCAAGACGCTGGGATCCTGGCGCTCCCCAGCCATGGGGCTGGCAGCCTCCCAGCCACAGCCACGAGGCTCTTGGTGCAGCAGCGCTTCAGCTGCACCACACCTCGTGTTTATAACCCCTATCCAACTTGCTGCTTCTCCCCTTTGGGCGGTCCCTCAGTGTCAGTGGAGGAGAATCCCTTCTCCTATTTCCAGAAAGTGAAAGAAAAATGTTACAAGGATGACCGCAATCTTATTTCACAGCAAACTTCAAACAATGAATCCCTCTGCATGATGTAGCACAGCTATCTCTCTCTTTGATTATTAAAACCTAAAAGATCCAGAAGTAAACAAATGCAGCCGTCTCTCATGATACTTTGTGATTTCACATCTGATGAGGAGGGGTTAGAAAATCAGTCCCAAACCGCCAGTTTTCATCCATGAAGTGAAATCAAGCCAACACTGTGCTGCACCAGCCCTGCCAATTTTCCACTGGCTGCTCTGCATGTACTAGGCCCACACATTTCTATTTTCTAGCAATTCCTGGCAAATATCCTGTCAGATTAGCAGCAGTTTTACTCCAAAGACATGACGCACAGAAAAACACCAGCGGTTCGTTTCTTCCAGACACCACCTCCCCCCCACCGCTTCAGGCCGGCGGTCCTTCAGGCGGCGCAGGAGCGGTGACACGGGTGAGGGGGAGCCCCGGCAGCATCCCCACGGGTGTGCATTGGCCATAAAGTTAATAATCGGATGATTTGCAGTACATTACCTCAGTGTGAGGCCTTATTCTGATTTGGCTGACAGGAACAAGAGAAGAGAAAAAAAAAAAAAAAGACAAATACAGTAGGATGGTGCAACAGGAAGGCTTATGTAGTTTACTTGTATTTTGCTGTAAAGCAGCTGGCGTGTCTGGGTCAAGAGACTCAAAACCCCTCACATTTCAAATAACGACCAGTTTCAGGGCTGAGAAATGCTCAATGCAGGACTGTGTTCCATCTTCAGAAGGTGCATGGGTTTGCAGTGGCAGCTTCCTGAGCAAAGCCCAGAAGGAGGTGAGGAGTTACCTCAAGAGAAAGAGTGGGCATGGAGCGGACCACCCAGCTCTGTCACCAAGCTGGCTGCATGGGCCATGGAGCTGGGACACGGCTGCTCACCAGCAGCAGAGAAACTCACTGGGACATCCACTGCCTTATCCCTCTCCCACTTACTAATGTCAACAGCAAGCCTGCTGCTGGCTGCTGGCTGCTGGCTGACAGTCAACAGGCGCAGCCACCCACTGCTCAGAGCTGGAGCTCTCCAGTGCCCCCCAAATCCAGACCTCCAGAGGATCCAAACAGGGGCCAAGACACCTTATGGCACCCAGAACAGTTTCACATAAACAGCTACAGAAGTTCCCTGAAATGAAAGGTATTAAGCAGCTCTTTCCCTGTCCTGTCCCCAGTCCTCTGATAAATCAAAACACAAAAATGAAAATATTTCCTTAAGATGGGCAAATTGGTTTCCAGCTGCAAAGTAATTCAGGATTTTTACTCCATGCCACAGCAAAGCATGAAAGGCCACATGAGGGACAGAGTGCTGCTGCCTCAAAAACACAGTTCAGAAATATATTATTCCTTTACTAAAGTGCAATCATGCGCAGTAAGTTACAGGACCCATTCAGTCTATCAGCTACTCTCTTGATTTCATCTAAAACCCAACCTCTACCCCAGCTGTGCCGCAAGTCAGGCATATGTTACCAAAAAAAAAAAAAAAAAAAAAAAAAAAAGAAAAGTATCAGTAGTGAGGGTTACTGTGGATGGCTTTGGAAATAAAGAGAAAACAGGGAAAACACAGCAGCTGTAAAATGAGGGAGCAGCGATGGAGGTAAGCCCTGCGCCCGGCCCCTCACCCCTTACCTTCATAGCAGGGCAAGAGCTTCCTCCCGTTGGGCTGCAGGTTTGGGGGAATGATGTTGCAGAAGCCGTGGGGCAGGATGTACTCTGTCTCATAATAGATGTTTTTCCAGCGGTGCGCGCATGCCTAAACAGATAAAATCACGTGTTACTGACCCAGACAGAGTCACAGGAGAGCCCTCCAACCAAGACACAGCATGCATGAACAGGACGTCTCAGCATCGTCTTCCCCCCACTGCACCATAGTCCTCCCCTTACAACCTGCTCTTTCTGGATAAAGTATCTTCTTGCTGTTATCTTCCACAGGTCGTGACACTGCCTGACCTGGCAGCTCAGATCTCAGCCTTCATGTATCCACAACTAGGAAAACAGAGGATCTCGGAGCAATAAAGAACCCATGTTGGAGATTTCAAGATCCCTCACTCACTGTGTATGAATCCTCACGGCCAGTGAAACTTTTTTAAACTAAAGATGCACCGATAAAACCCACCTGAGCCAGAAATGGGAGGAAAATGGGAATAAAGACATTGAGAATTCACATTAGAAGGTTATCCCACCAGAGGACGCATGCATGAGTCAAAGCCTTGTCTCTCTGGGAACGATGGCTTTGTTTCTGGTGACAGAAGAGCTGGACCTTGCTTACTGGTAATGAATTTAAGTGAAAATGCTAGAGATTTTGTGGCAACATCAGTCAAGATGCAGATGAGCTGCAGAAATCAGGGTGCCTTTCCCTTTGTAGTGAGTAAGATCACCCTGCAAAACCAGAGCTAAACCAGTCTCACCAGGACACATTGCCCAGTGCAACTGCCACACACAAGCACACACATAAGCAACGCGGAGCCTGATTCACACCTTCGCAGAACCCATTTGCTCCAAAAATTAGCATCACGTTGCTGCCAGACAAACCACAAGTTGCCTGATGCTCAGGGGTTACTTGGAATTAAAGGAAAGGAAATGTGAAACAGCAAGGCCTTTAACTTGAACACATGCCGGGCCATATCTCCAGCTTGTTTAAGTCACTGAAGTTAATTGTAGACATGTCAATTTATATCATTTAAGGCTTAGTCCCATGCACACAGGGCAGCCTCTATGCTACAAATCATCTCCTCCACATAATTCCAAGTCTTCCTGGAAACTTTCCATCAGCCTCCTTCGTGATCCCCACGTTGGACCCTATCCTCCCCAGAGGAGACACTCTCTGTCTTCTTCCCTTTGTGCTACCCCACCTTTCTGCCTTAGCACCTTAAAGCTGCCCACGTGAGCATCTCAACATTATTAACAAGTACATTCATAAGACAGGCACAATTGTGTCACCTATCCAGTGAAGGACCTGGGAAGCATAACAACCACTGGGAAGCTCAAAATTCAATCCAGCAGTCAACACAGATCCCTTCCATACACTTAACCCCAGAAAGACATAAAAGGGTAATACTATTCTATTTTTTTTTTAACTGAAACAGAGCGAAAACAGTTGTGCAAAAGCCTGCTCTGATGTTAGCGGTGCTGCATTTGGAGTTTGATATTTATTGCTTTCCTAACTTCCAATACTCAAGAAGAAGCACGTATCTCCTGACGATAGCTATCGCTGGGGGGATAACAAGGGACTCCAGGGGCGTGGAAAGCTCTGCACTGCCCGGCACAGACTGCCACCCAGGATGCAAAGGATGCTTCTGATAGCACTCTGCTCGACAGCCAAATGCATGTGAGGCATTCTGCAAAGAGTAGCTTTGGGGCCTCCTTTATATGCTTTAAGGAAGCTCAGTTATTATTTTAATCCCCATACACCATTCACTCAAAATTTAACAGAAAAAAAACCAACAAAAACCAGACCATGAAACAGTCATTTTCAAAGTAACCAGGAAACAGTTTTTCTTCTGACAGATCTGTGCTGCCAGCTCAAAAACATACACATGCACAGCCCTTTTAAAGACAGTACTATAAAGACACATACCATTAAAGCGACAGTCAAGTCCATCTCCAGATATAAACTCAAACAGAAACAGACTGACAGTATTTTTTAAGATCATGGGAACATAAAGAAAGGATTGTAATATTGTAAATTCCTTGAGATTTTATATCTTGGAAACTGCAAGGGACTCACATATATTAACCTACTAATGTGTCCCAGAGGAGCACAAATGGCAGAGTTGGGGAGAGCAGCAGGAGGCTCAAGCGTGAGGTGCAGAAGCCAAGAAAGATATAAGAAGAACAGTACAAGGAGAAAAAAAAGGAGCTGCTGCATAATAAATATTTTTTAAATCAATTGGAGGCTGTGGGGTTGGTTTAGCAATCCTAGGAACACTTACCTGATCTGTTAGAGTTTGGGTTTTGTTTAGATTTTGATTGTTTGGGTTTTTTAAAAACAGGATCCCTTTTCTGTACTGTCAGCATACTGTGTATTCAGGCACACTACAGCTGACTACCTGAACCTGCAGGTAAACTGACATCATCTCTCTCCAAGAGATGAGCTCCACCTCAACTGTCTCAGCAGGGGCTTCCCCAGACCCCCAATGCCACGGCTGCAGAATTTGACATGTTCCCAATGGACAGGAGTTCAGCAGCTCCTGTTCTCCCCAAAACTCATTTCCCTGCAGCCAGGTGACTAGCACGTTTGTCTCCCTGCCACAGCAAGCAGGGAGCTGCTCCACTCCTGCTTTGGCTTCTCCTGTCTCCCCAAAAACATTGAGTTGGATTTGGGTCCCCGCGGCCCCTGCATTACTTGACGTTGCTGAGGCAAGGTGATGTGTTACCAAAGGTGGCTACAGCCTTTCTTCTTTGATGGCACATGTCTGAAGAGGTCTTGGGAACAGAGATGAGTCACCTGAATTTGATGCTACAGAGGGGTGTTTTCTGTGGGTTGGGTTTTTATTTCTGGGCTGCATAGGGAAGAGTGTGGCCAGGAGGTCAAGGGAAGTCATTCTCCCCCTCTACTCTGCACTGGTGAGGCCACAACTGGAATCCTGCGTCCAGTTCTGGGCTCCCCAGTTCAAGAGAGACAGGGAACTGCTGGAGAGAGTCCAGCGTAGGGCAACAAAGATGATTCAAGGACTGGAGCATCTCCCTGATGAGGAAAGGCTGAGAGACCTGGGACTCTTTAGTCTGGAGAAGAGAAGGCTGAGGGGAGACCTTATCAATGCTGACAAGTATCTCAAGGGAGGGTTGAAGGAGGAGGGAGCCAGACTCTTTTCAGTGGTTCCCAGTGAGAGGACGAGGGGCAACGGGCACAAGTTGGAACAGAAGAGGTTCCACTCAAATATGAGGAGAAACTTCTTCACGGTGAGGGTGACAGAGCCCTGGAAGAGGCTGCCCAGGGAGGTTGTGGAGTCCCCTTCTTTGGAGATTTTCAAGACCCGCCTGGATGCTCCTGAGTAACATGCTCTGACATGCTCTGGGTGGTCCTGCTTTAGCAGGGGAGTTGGACTACATGATCTCTATGGTCCCTTCCAACTCTAAAAATTCAGTGAAATTCAGTGAAATTTCCCTAAAATGACTGCAAGAAACTGCCGGCTTAGACACCCTTTTTAGATGTAAGCCATAGGTGTGCCCCTGTGCAACCAGGCTGCCTCCGGCACGCTCTGGCACTCAGCAGCTGCTGCCGGGGCACAGCCACCGGCTCTGCCACGAAGCAAAGGAGAAAGGATGCAAACCCTTGAAGCAAAATGAAAAGCTTCTAGGCAAAACACACAGAGGTCTGTAGTGATGGCAGACACTGCATTACTGCAATATAATGAATAGGCTATTTCAGAACTGCAGCCACTTTGCTCTTTTGCATACTGAACACCAGCCACACAGGAAAAGCAATACAAGAGGCTCAGGCTTCACTTTAGAGGCCGAATCTGCTGAGTCCTAAAGTCAGAGTCCAAACAAAGGACTTTTTGAATACACCACGGTCAGACCACTTCTGGTTTGCTCTTCCCTAGGAGGACTTTAGCTTTGCTGCAGGGATGGTTTGGGTTTTTCAACAGACACACACACAGTCACTAGATGTGCCACTAAGTCAACTAGTTAAAATGAAAAATGGCAACACTTCATTAAAAAAAAACAGAGTAACGACAGATGTGGCAGGTATTTAGGAAGAGCATGACTGAAGGATGTGGCTTATCTCCAAATCATAATGCATTGTCCATGGTTGTTCTCCCAATAAAAGGAGGACTTTTGCCGTTTCAGTTCTGAAAGAGCTGGCAATCTCAGCTGTATTATTGCAGTACTTAAATTAATGCAAATATTGACTGAGAGCACACCCAAGGACAGGAAGCCACTGAAATGCAAACTCAGAGTTATTTTAGCCAATCTTTCTTCTTCATCCGTTTAAACCCTTATTGTTTGATGCTTTTCTATTTAGAATGTTACACAAACATAAAACTCTGGTTCCATAACATCCTGGCATAATATAGGCTCAAACACTATCCACTTTACCAAACATCAGCTAAAGCCCCCCTCCAAACACCTCACCTTCCCCCCGAAGCTGGTACCCTTATCAGGCAATTGGGGAAAGCCAATAAGACAGAAATTTAAGCCACTAAGCAGTTTCAAAGCAAAAGCAACAACTTCTTTGAACAATCCACAGTCAAACCATGGGACTAATTCCTCTAACACAGGACGTCAAGAGCATGAATGGTTGTCATGGGTTTAAAAAGCATCTACCCATATTTATGCAAAAAAAACCACCAAAACCATCCATGGCTATTAACCACAAAGGTACCACTCTGACTTAAAGGAATTCGTGAAAGAGATGCAGTAAATAGAGCTGTAATGCCTGACAATACAGATTGCACATACTCATAACTACTGAGCATCGCTCACAGAATTAGGTAGTAAAAAAAAAAAAAAAAAGCAAAAAATCAGCAGATGTGGCTCCAAACACACATTCAGGCATGTCTTCTCAGGACACCAGTTTCTCACAGGTGCTTCAAAGACAACTCCATTTTAAAGAAATCTTGAACTTTAAAACTAGAAGAGCACACAAATTAAATTCCATCTGCTTATAAGAAACTCACGAATCTTTTTAATTAAAAAAAGTATCTCAAACCAGAGTAACGGTGCCCTGAAATAGCCAGGTATTCTCCGTCCACAAAGGAATCCATATGCCTTTATTCCAGGCTCTGTCTACACACAAATGTGCACAGATGTTTAATTAGTGGTTAAGACAGAGTGCTTTGGTGATAAATATCTCACTGAAACCAAGGAGAATTAGACACTTAAACATCCTTAAGCATCTGGACACAATCTACTTGGTGAGGGCAGTACAATCTTGTCAGAGGGGTGGTTTATGACTTCCTTAAATCAGCATAACTTGTGGAGACATTTTACCAGCTTAAGCTGCACGTGAATAAGTACACCAGTAGCTGCACATTTTACTTCAGCTACAATTTGCCTTTAACCTGCTTTTGTGTCTGAAATTTCCATTATCTCAGCCCAAATCTAAGCCCTCACAGCCTGCCCACGTCTCTCATCCTTGCAACCTTCCCTCAGCCAGCAAGCAGATGCCCAGCTTTTTTCCTCACCAGCTTTACCTTCCTTTGCTGCTTCTGTCTAGGGAGGTGACACCTAAGAATCAGCTGCAATCCATTCCCATTTGAACCAAAGCACACAAACCCATTATTTTTAACATACTGTTTTTACAAAAATGTCTCAGAGTTGCCTAAAAAAAAAGTGTATGTGCTATCTTCTGAAAATGGGACAAGCATTTGTCTAGTTCAGACCAGTGACTGGAAAATGAGAGGATGCTATGTCTCGAGATAGAGTTATCCTGATTTGTGCAAGTTACTCCTCAGCCCTCACACGGGACTCCGAGTGCACACACAGACCAGAATATCCCCTAAAACCTGAGTTGCTTACACCAGCATGAATGTCTTATTTTTGTGCTCTGCTAGGCATGTTTACAGTGTATTTCATTTATACCCCTCTTTTTCCTCTCCTACTCCAGTGCTGAACACATTTAAAACATTGAAGAAGAGTAAAGCATCAGCCAGCCTCTATAGCACTGGCGAGCTGTACACCAAAAGAGACAACCAGATAAAATACCACAGTACTATGGCAGAAAGGTATCAAAAACACCTTTCCCCATAAGGAAGTTGGTGTGGAAGGGCTTGGGTCTCTAAGCGCATATTAAGAAAAACACCTTTGAGTGAAGCAGATTTGCCCACCTGCCTTACACAGGTGGTTGGCACAGGAATCATTGTATGAGATCTTTCTCACCAGCAGCTTTGTGACAGTTTGGTGCCATGTACCAGGGCAATCCCCTGTTTCACTGGAAAGCTGAGGTCATACTGCAGGTTTCCAACTCCCAAACAGCGGTGCTAAGAATTAGCTTGTTGTCAGGGTTACTCTGACATGAGCTTGACATTTGCCTGACACATATACTATGCACAACATTTTATTGCAATTTTTTTAAATTTCATGTAACATTCCTGCATACCGACTCACTCGGGTGGACAGTCAGAATGCAAGCATGGATGTAAATACAGACAACTATTGATCATAATATAGCCATGTATTTTGGGAAGCTTTTGCCCATAAAGCTCTCTTTATGATTATTTTTTTTTTCCAACACAGGAAATGTTATTTGCAAAGATAAATTCCACATCCTAAGGATCACATCTGCTCTCCTTGACCTCTCTATTTGCATGGTAACTGTATCAAAGACACCCACCCACAACTAAGCCATCTCTCAAATCTTCTAATTAATATACATAACGAAAAAATATCACCACAAGGACTCATCTGACATTTTTCATGGTGAGTTCTGACACGCAAGGCATATGCTCAGGGAAAATGGATGCATACATATTCCCTACATAAACAGAGGAAAATGACAAAAAGAATAAACTAGCAGGTACCTCCCAGACAAAGTTCTACTTATTCTGTTCAAAGATTTAATCCCTTAGATTTAGGAGGAAGCCCTTGGGTGACACAAGTTAGGTATGACGGCTTTGAAGTCCTCTCTCTATAAATAAAGCTTTCTGGCTGGGGCTCACTTTTCCTTCCGCCTGAAGGAAGCGACGACAGAATTTGCTGCCTGTAAAGCTGGACTCCGTCAGTCACTGCCAAACGCGTTAATCCTGATGTGTTTAGCATTAGAGTCAGACAGCAGCAACGGTTTTAACGAGATGGAAGAGAAGAGTGGCCTTACCAGCACGCTTCCCCCAGCCATTGGCTGTCTGGCCAGTGTCACACCCATCCATTCATCATCTCTGTCTTCTTTGCAAGTCTTTCCGCAGAGCGTGCCCCGAGAATTGCCTACAGAAAGAGGGGAAAAGCAAGGAGACATGAGTTTTAATTACCCACCAAAGAATCCCTACAAAAAAGGCTGAGGGACTTGGGTCTTTTTAGTCTGGAGAAGAGAAGGCAGAGGGGGGATCTGATCAATGCTTATAAATACTTGAAGGGTGGGCGTCAAGAGGATGGGGCCAGTCTTTTTTCAGTGGTGCCCAGGGACAGGACAAGAGGGAACGGGCACAAACTGGAATATAAGAAGTTCCACCTAAACATGAGGAGCCCTGGAAGAGGCTGCCCAGGGAGGTGGTGGAGTCTCCTTCTCTGGAGACATTCAAACCCCGCCTGGACACGTTCCTGTGCAACCTGCTCTGGCAGGGGGTTGGACTAGATGATCTCCAGAGGTCCCTTCCAATCCCATGGGATTCGGTGATTCTGTGAAAAGAGGTTGCGCATCAAACATCTGCCTGACAGATGTAACCCTGTTTGTCAGTTCTTGTATGCATTAATTTGGACACTGCTCTTACTCTTGCTAGGCACCACACAAGTGCATTATAGAGGACAGACCCTCTCCCAAAGAGCCAGCAGCTCTTACAGCATGCCCACAGCTCTGTTTGAATAAACCACCCAGCTGCAGTCAGCTGGGGAGACGTGGGATTGCCTGCAGAATGCAATCAAAGCAAAGCATCACTCCTGAAAATGAGATCTGGGGCACCTAAAAAAATTGAGGCCTATATCTTTAGTCCTTTCGGGCAGTATTCACCAACCTGTGAAAGACAGTTTACGTTACAGTGGCAGGAAAACCAAACTTAGCCAAAACACTGCTTTAACACACGTAAGCTTCATAAAGATAAATTCTACTTGACTCAGTCGTGAAAAGACAAGCAATAACAATACCAACATGCCTTTTTTACAGGCAGGGAAAGCAGTAACACACATCACCAAGAAAAACAAAATATTAAAAGGCCTCCATTTTCTCCATCAGAATCCAGCGTGAGGTTTTTAGATCAGAGCCTTACTTTAGGGCCGTGCCTTTCCCTGATTCAGACAGTACCTCAGAGAAACCACAGCTGATCCTGACCACGTGCAACACAGAGGCTCTCACGGAGAAACTAGCACAAGAAGCAAACCCAAGGAATGATTTGCAGCGTTACAAGGGAACCCACAAATCGCCATGTTGCTAATAACATCATGTGCCCACCACCTGGGGTCATCTCCTGCTCTGCACGGTGGAGGCAGCAGCACTCCCAGCCACTCCCGGACCCACCACACGCTGCAAAGGCACACCGAGGCAGATGGAGAAAAGACAGCGGCTTAGGGTAAGCAGGGGAAAAACCCACCTTTGCCTGGGTACTCGCTGGAGAGAGCAAGCAGAGCCACTGGGAAGACAGCAGCACCAGGTGGGATGCTATTTCATAATGCTGAAGAGAATATGACACCTTTGCTACCAGTGCTCAAAATCACAGACCGGTCAGAGTTGGAAGGACCTTAAAGATCATCTCGTTCCAACCCCCCCTGCCCTGGGCAGGGACACCTCCCTCTAGACCAGGTTGCTCAAAGCCCCATCCAGCCTGGCCAAAATCCATCAGGAAAGGCTGACAAATCCTCCTCAGTGTCTTGGGGCCTCTTTGAAGCTGTCAGGAGGATTGCTAGCCATTTGGGTTGCGTGGTTTTTTTGGTTGCCTGCTTCTTACCCCCAAGCATCATAACTACCCACCTCGCCCCATATCCAGTTCTGTGCATCTTCTGTCAGGGTTGGTATGGACTCGACACTTAAACACTGCTCCTGGGGACTGAACAGAGGTGCTGTATTTAGATTCTGCCTTGGGAGCACCAACCAAGACCCTGGAAACCAAAAGCAAAATAACAAGTGATTAATTTCAGGAGAAAATGAAAAAAAAAATGAAATAAGGAAACAACAGCAAGATTCACACTGCCAGAGCTTCCTCAGCAAGAAGACTATTTTCAGCAAACTTGTAAAATGATGACATTGATTCATAAACTAAAAACACCACACACACAATAAAAGCATTTTTCCCCAGTGAAGTCACAAATATTTTAACAACTTAAATTTCCATTAGGATTGTAACACATTGAAAGCAACCCCCCCACCCCACAACGTGGAAGAAATTAGGAAAGTATTAGAAAGGACAACAGGAGCTGCATCCACTTTTCCTCAGTTTTAACTACATCCCTATCAGCCCAAGGACCCGCAAGAGCTAATACACACACGCACTAGAGCATGAAATTTGAAGCCAGGTGCCATCCAGCCAAAGATGAATAACCCTGTTTAGAAAGTTGAGGCATCCTACTCTCAGATCAATTTATGTAACTATAGCTTTAAAAAACAACAGCAAAAAACCTTAACCAACAACATAGGAGCAAATCTCTTCCACAATGCATTGCTATCAACCAACATTTATCATTGAGGCTGTGAGGACTTTACCTCGACTGTTCATCCCACACGAGAGCTGGGAAACACCAATGCACAGCTCTGACCCAAGGGCTCCTTAAGAGAACCTTGAAAGTCGATGGGCACTTTTTAACCCCTTCTGTTAGGATGCAGTTAACTGTTTAGCAAGCTGGCAGCTGCTGATGCCCTAAGGGATGCTTTTTGAGGAGCATTATAGGGGAAGCACAAGTATTAAGGGAGCCCTTTTAGTATTAAGGGAGCCCTTTTAGTATTAAGGGAGCCCTTTTACCGCTTCCTCGTTAAAGGGACGGTGTTTCTCACCTGGCTGAGCAGGAGGATGAAGAGGGAGGTTAAGCAAGAGAAGGCAGCTCCAGGAAGGGTGGTGGGGAGCACCAGGTAGTTTAGTATCAGTTCTGCTGATGTCCCTGCATTGTGAGTCCCCTTCTTTGGAGATTTTCAAAACCCGCCTGGATGCAGTCCTGAGTAACATGCTCTAGCTCTAGGCAATCCTGCTTCAGCAGGGGAGTTGGACTAGATGATCTCTATGGTCCCTTCCAACTCTAGAAATTCAGTGAAATTCAGTGAAATTCAGTGAAAGTCCTTGCTGATGTTAAGCCCAGGGCTGGAACTGAGGGTGACCATCTCTAAAAGGCTAAGCCTCCAGCGCTCCCCTGCGCAGATCCAGCCTGCTGCTTGGGAGGCAGCAGCTTACCAAGGAGACACTGCTCTTGGTAAAGGGATACAGACCCACTGGAGCAGAGTCAGTCCACATACACAGCCCACGCAAAGCACTGACAGCCCAGAACAAGCCCCAAAACAGAAGCTTTCCCTGTTTTAAATAACTTCTCTTTCATCCTCTAATTTAAAGATCCATCCCCAACTGCTGCCTGTCAGCACCATCCTGGATAAACAAAGGGAGACCTGAGGCACAAGGCACACACGTGTCCAAGGTCAGCCTGAGCCACCTGGAAGAGCTGTTCCTGCACCAGTCTGCTCAACGCCAAACAGCAGCACGTCTCTACTCCTGCTGCAATACACACTGCTTTGGATGTGACAAAACCATCCTACCGCATCTGGAAATACGTTTACAAAAAGAAAAGAATCCCCTATGTTAAATGACTGTTTTCTCCCAAGTTTCATGAGCTAAGCTGTATCACTTGCAGCAGTTTGGTGGGGTTGCGCTCTATAGCACTCATCATGTTTTCACAAGTGAGAAGAATTAATGTCCAAAATACTTAAGTTGCTAAAACCTACAAAACCTGCACACATTGGAGAGTGTGCGCAAAGGAGCCTGAAATAATAGCTGTGAATGCAAATCCCACCAGGCAGGCAGCGGGCAGAAAATCAAATGCCAATCATTTCATTTACACAGGCGATGAATGCTTGTCATTCAGTAATTGACATTCGTGAGGTCTAACAAAAACAAATAAGGAGGATATTACTAGCTTAAAGAGCTACAGGTTCAAATTGCAAATGGCAAGAAACTGTTTCTATGACCTGTTCTAACAGGCTGGGTGGAGAATGGCTGGAGAGCAGCCCTTGAGACTTGGGGTTGTTGGTGGATGAGAAGCTCAACATGAGCCAGCAGTGTGCACTGGCAGCCCAGAAAGCCACCCTCATCCTGGGTTGCATCAAGAGAAGCGTGGCCAGCAGGGTGAGGGAGGGGATTCTGCGCCCTGTACTCTGCTCTGGTGAGACCCCACCTGGAGTACTGTGTCCAGTTTTGGGCCCCTTCCCACAAAAAAGACATTGAGGTGCTGGAGCGGGTCCAGAGAAGGGCAACGAAGCTGGTGAGGGGTCTGGAGAATAAGTCTTGTGAGGAGAGGCTGAGGGAGCTGGGGGTGTTCAGCCTGGAGAAGAGGAGGCTCCAGGGAGACCTTATAGCAGCCTTCCAGTACCTGAAGGGGGCTACAGGGGAGATGGGGAGGGACTCTTGAGCAGGGATTGTAGTGATAGGATGATCGGTAATGGTTTTAAAGTGAAAGAGAGGAGATTCAGATTAGATATTAGGAAGAAATTCTTTGCTGTGAGGGTGGTGAGAGCCTGGCCCAGGTTGCCCAGAGAAGCTGTGGCTGCCCCATCCCTGGAGGGGTTCAAGGCCAGGCTGGATGGGGCTTGGAGCAACCTGGTCTGGTGGGAGGTGTCCCTGCCCAGGGCAGGGGGTTGGAACTCGATGATCTTTAAGGTCCCTTCCAACTCGAACCATTCTATGATTCTATAAGATAATGTAGGCCACATTGACCTCCAGTTTAAAAAAAGCTTTGGTCTAACCTAAGAAAAATAAATATGATTCAGCAATTAGTGCACAAAACACCTTGGGTTGCCGAATGCAAGATGGAGATGAAGGAACCTAAACCACAAAGATTCTTCACCTGTCTTTAAACAGCTGAATGGGAAAAATTGATAATTCATTATTTGAGTAGGCTACTGGTACAGATAATATGGGTTGCATAGGGAAGAGCGTGGCCAGCAGGTCAAGGGAGGTCATTCTGCCCCTCTGCTCTGCACTGGTGAGGCCACAACTGGAATCCTGCGTCCAGTTCTGGGCTCCCCAGTTCAAGAGGGACAGGGAACTGCTGGAGAGAGTCCAGCAAAGGGCAACAAAGATGATTCAAGGATTGGAGCATCTCCCTTATGAGGAGAGGCTGAGAGAGCTGGGACTCTTTAGTCTGGAGAAGAGAAGGCTGAGGGGAGACCTTATCAATGCCTACAAGTATCTCAAGGGCGGGCTGAGGGAGAAGGGACCCAGACTCTTTTCAGTGGTTCCCAGTGAGAGGACGAGGGGCAATGGGCACAAGTTGGACCATAAAGGGTTCCACTTGAATATGAGGAAGAACTTTTTCACAGTGAGGGTGACAGAGCCCTGGAAGAGGCTGCCCAGGGAGGGTGTGGAGTCCCCTTCTTTGGAGCTTTTCAAGACCCGCCTGGATGCTCCTGAGTAACATGCTCTGACAAGCTCTGGGTGGTCCTGCTTCAGCAGGGGAGTTGGACTAGATGATCTCTATGGTCCCTTCCAACTCTAAAAATTCAGTGAAATCAGTGAAATATTGCTGCCTTGAGCAAATATACCTCTCAAAAAGAAAATACCTGTTGCCATTTCCTCATGTGGACTAAGCAGAAGGAAGTAAGCAGCCAGTAAAGGGAACTGGTGACGCATGCCAAAAGCAAATTTATTTTGGATTGTCCTGAGTGTCCATACACTCAAATTCAGTATTTCACCTACATCACACATTGTATCTGCTTAGGAGCTTGTCTCATTCTTTCACTCTTGCACCAAGACCCCAGCAGGTGAAACCTTTGCAGATCTCCTGTTCCTTCTGGCGTGACACATGCTTGCCCACAGCCTGAGATGGTCACCTTCAGGGAGATGGGAGATTTTCTGTTGATTCAAATGCTTTTTAGTTGGTCAAGTTGGTATTTGCCACCTACCACTTACTTCAGTTTTATTCAAAGATTTGAGACAGGAATATTTTCTTTGTCAAGAAGAGTCCTTTACTCTTTCATCATTTTCTGTGTGTAACTGCTTAACTGTCAGAAGAAAATCACCTATTCAACTGTCATGAGCCTTTTCAGCAGGCCTGGATATAAGACCCATTTGCATCCAAATATTTTGGGACTCATTGAGCAAAGCAGACACCTGTTTTCTATCTCTCCTACATATTAAAACACTTTTGAAATCTTTTGGAATTTCTATGGAACGATGCTGCAACCAGAAAAGGTTTTTTTCTCTGGTACCACATTGAAACAGAAATGTATTTCAAAACAAAGCCTTAGAGTCTAATGCACTCATCTGGCATTTCAGTGCTGCCGAGTCTTGCCTGGCACAAACACAGAAGATATGTAAACAGCCAGCAGAAGTAAAACCCTGTCGTCTTGCTATTATCAGGCAACCTTCCAACATACTCCAACTAGGTTAACCAGCTCTCCTTTTAAATAGCCTAATTTTGTGGTATAGATTTCCAGCACTGCGACAGGACTCCTTGGGTTGGCAGCAAAGCAAGCCCCAGCTGTTCTCCAGCCCTTTGCCACCAGCGTTATGATGTGGGCAGTACTCTCTGCAGGGATTATCAATGAGTGCCAGCTCTCACCACTACTGTAATACTCTGCAGGGAGCCCCTAGGACATTTGAGAGCAGCTGCATGAGGACACCTTGAAGGGGAAACCCCATCAAGAGCAAGGGATTACTTTCTATGGAAGAGAACTGTGGGCAGTGGAGTTTGGGGCCATTTTAGGGTCACTTTTGCTTGACGTGCACAGAGCTCTGCAAACCAAATACTGGGGTCTAAACTGACGTGAGGAGCAGTAGACAGAGAGGCCATTTAACCCTCTGTTCTTGCATTCATACTCACACGACCAAGGACAAATGCCTTCATCTGTATGGAGATGACAACGCAGCTGTGCGGCCAGAAACCATCACACTGCAGGAGCTGCA